CCCCCTTTTTTTTTCTCCAAAATTTCTCATTGGCACCATCTCCGACTCTTATGTCTACCTATTTTTCATTCATGTGGAGCTTTCAGAATAGCGTGGTGGTTGGTAGGGAAAGGTAAGAAGCGGGTGGTGTCTTTTTTTCGTGAAAGATGAGGGGATGGGTTTTAGAGAGGATGATAACAGAAAAGGGGGATAGGATTTATAGGGTGTGGAGAAGCGGCGTGAAGGCAAAGGGTAGGCTGGAAGAAAAAAACCAAGATAGTACAAAGGGGTACAGTGAAGTTTTGTTTTTCTTTGGGGGGGGGGGGGCAAGGCATATTGGGCGAAAGACAGTAGAGGAGTTGTGATCGATTATTACTTGGCACTTTGCCTCATTCTCAGTACAGACCTGTGTGAGGTAGCTGAGTGGACATTCGTCTGCAGAACATAAGATTGGAGTTGGAGAGTCGGAAACATGCTTTCAAATTTATTTTTTAAAATCTAGTATCTTTTTTTCTTTTTGTTCTTTCATTCTCACCCCACCATTCCATCTCCAAAAGTGACGTTAAGGACAAACAAACTGTTTGGGTTTTTTTTAGGTTCTGTCAATTATTTGTCATCATTAAGGCCACTGTTTTCTCTTCCAGTGTCATGCACAAGTAGTTTTCTTCTTGAACAATGATGCGTATTATTATATTATATGCACAAAGGCTGCGATACAGGCAGAGGCAGTGTATTGTAACAACTTGCTCTGAAATCACCAGATTTAATCTATTGACCAACTTGGACCTGTATGAATTACTAGTAAAGGTACCTGCCATTACTAAAGTCAATGTTGTTGGCTTCTGTTGGAGTTGAACGACGCCCTACTAAACATGAATGGAGGCTTTTTTTGTTTGCCATGTGGTTAGTCACAGTCATGAAAATGGACAGGAAAAGGAAGGTTTGATACACCTAGATCTAAGTCATATTTGTTCATTTGAGTGCATGTAATTTATTTTCTTGTTGAAGACCCTGGAAATAGATTAACATAATTTGAGCCCATTGCAAAGTTTAAGCTACCGTGAAGCTATCAGACTTACAATGTGTACCAACTAGTGTCTCCAACTGGAAACGTAATTCTCATGAAATCTAGTGTCAACTCTTAAGTAAGGTTACGATGGAGTCACGGGCAGGGGACATAATATACCAACAGTTGGCCTCTTGGAGTATATTTGTTTTTGAAATAAACCAATTCTAATATCAGTGAGCTGTCTTGGGATTCTAGGACATAAAACAAAGGTGGCGTTCTGCCTGTGAATGGCTTTTGTTTAAGAGAAGAAAAAAAAGGTTTCAAGAAACTCGTTTACAAGAAAGTTGCGTAGAGTTTTTGTTTGTTAGTTGTTGTTTTTTTATGTATTTATTTATTTGCGGGGAGGGGGTTCAACTGTACTAATAAATGTAAAGTTTATGAATGTAGGCGCACAGAGTTCACAGTACGTTTCGATTGTTAAAAAGTCTCAGGTTGTTTGGGGAGGGGGGGTTGTTGGGGGGTTTTTTTTTGGGGGGGGGGGTTACATATGTTTGGGTTTTTTTCTGTAAAACCCACATAGAAATGTGTTTTAATTTTAAACCGACATTTTGCCCCAAGAATAAAATTTCGGTGAAAAATTGTCCTAATAACAGAAAAATGTCAGTTCATTGCTGAGCTCCTGATTTTCCCACGATGCCGCCACACAGTTTATTTATAAAACTGTGGATAAAAATCTTTTCTTTCTTTTTTTTTTTATAAGGGAACATAGAACAATCTATTTTCACAGGAGTTCAGAAAATTATAATATACAGGCTAGTGTAGAACAGACTCAACAGGGGTGTGAATCAATTATGATACCCTGGTTTAAGAATGTAGAACATTGTGAGTTATAAAGATTAATAAGTGTTCAGCAGTCTGTAAGTAGGCGGTGAGGAGACGCTGTTCCCATGCCATAACACAAGGAAACCCGTAGCTTTTCTTTTGCCCTCCTGTTTCTTTTTTTTTTTTTATCCTCGTAGGGTCGCTTTTGTGTGCTGTGAACTTCACCGCACTCGTTTTAGCTACGAGATTTGTTTTATGATCTGGTTTTGAAGCAGATTGTGCTTTTTTAAAGTTTTATTTTTATTTTATTTTTATTTATTTTTTTAATGATTTTTTGTTTGTTTGAGGGGTGGTGGGGTGGAGGGGGTGTTACTTCAGAATAGATTCTTGGTGTTTACTGACTTAACTATTCCTGAGATAAAGACGGAATACTGGTTAGGTTTAAAAAAAAAACATTTTTAAGTATTATACATATATGTCTACGTCTTCTTTTAAACATGTGGACCTTTGTCCTACTCATAAAGAGATACTCCAAGACAATAACAGGATCAAGACCAATACAGAACGAACTCAATATATTAAATCTTATCTTCTTTAGTAAAGAGTCTTTCCCTATTATGATTATACTAGGCGTGTATCGACTCAATTAGAGGTTATTTTGTTTCGAGGGAAAATCTTTCGTTGAGCAAAAGCCGCTTCTCGTGATTTGTCTCCAAGAGTTCAGGTTTGCCAGTTTCTAGTTGACCGATGTTTGTTGAGTTCAAAGTTATACCTGAGCGTTACTTGGCGTCTGAGGCTCTCCCACCCCCTAATTTTAGGCGGTATTTAATGGGGGATTTGTTTCGTTTTTGTTTTGTTTTTTGTTTAGTCTCCCTTTTAATTTTTTTTTCATTAAAAAACATTATTTGACTTTATTTTGATTTTTCAAATTCCATATTTGATTTATGTGAGTTTGGTTTGTTTGTTTTTTGGTTTTTTTAAGGGTTAAATAAGAGAAAATTATGACTGCATTTTGCGTGAATGTAATATTTGAATACTTTCAAACACTTGCTTTGGCTTTTTTGTAGAGTAGCTTTGAGCACATGAATCAGCTTCTTTAGAATTGACTCGTTTACGTCTTTGTGGCGGTTAATTCATGCAAAAAACAAGCAAAAAATGTTTATCAATTGACAGCAAAGTCTGTGCCATAGAACACCAGTGTTGTGTTGATTAAAGACAATCATAACAGCGGCAATTACACTCATTAGTACAGTTCAGGATAACGCCTTGTGTAGTACATGTCAGCAGCTACCGATATTTTTTTTACACAACGGCCGTATAGTTATGGCGAAGATTCTCTGCTACCAAAGAAGGATTGCAATATCTTGGTAGTGGAGAATCTTTGTTATGGGGAATCGGAAGGGTCAAGTCTAAATTCGGCTGTCCATTACCCAAGTTTGGTTCCAATAGGTGGGGGGATATTTTACAGAGTTCGACATTTTTCGTCTTTCAACCGGGATATATGTTTTAAATACCGAAATGTAGATTGGGTCTAACAAGCACTTAGAAATGTTTTGCAATTATTAGAGGAAAAGGCAGGGTTGGGGGGGAGGGGGAGGGGGCAGCATTATCGTGTATTTGTTTTGAATGTAAACGTACATCATTTTCTTTTTCTATCCATTTTTTTCTTATACGTTTTTTTTTTGTTCTCATTTAATTTATTTTAGTTTTTCTTTTAAGGCCCTTTAAACTACTACCAGGGATTCTCAGTGACTCATAGTATCTGCAGGGCCGTAAAACGAAGCATCTTTCTTTATAACTCCTTGATCAGAGCAGTATGACTCTTTTCGTAGACTAGAAACATCAAAGTGACAGTTAAAATCTCGCCCACTAACTTTGCCCGCTCATTTAGATGCCCACCTTCATTTGGTGGTGTTAGGTTGGTGAATTATTCCACTGGTGGTCGACCTTCGGCCTTGTGTGATGTGGTGTGATCTTTGGTTTTGACAATGCGAAAATTAAACAAAATTTAGACGAGCTTTCGCCAACTTAAACCGTCGCCTTGCCTTATCATCCCTTTCTATGCACTGATTAATTTCTGTGAAAATGTTGAGCACAATGTTGCCTAGTATTTTTTTTTAATGGGTAGCAGTCTCAATGCGTAGAACAACTTAACTTGATAACGTCGTTAAAAACTTCTTACAGCTCGACCCAAATGAGATTTCTTATCATAATCTTTTTTTGTTTTTTGGTCTTCTTCCCCAGTTTAAAAAAAAGTTCTACCTTATTTCCAATTTCTTCATGTAGTTTGTTTATGCTCTCTTTTCAGCACAAACTATGATTGAAGCTTGACTCGTATTCACTTCCTTTCTACGTTATGTTTTAGATTGTGAATGCTCTACTGTTTGCTTACTCCTAATTCCTTCTAAAAAGCTATTTGAAAGCAATGACAATGCAAACATGTGCTAATTTTTATTTATTTTTAGTCTTCTCTATGATGTAAGCAGCTTTCAAAATTTTCTTTATATTGTTTTTGTGTTATTTAATAAAGGTTATTAGCAGTGTCAGTGTTCTAATGTAAAAAAAAATTTTAAAAACCAAAAAAATTCACATTGTCCATGGCAGTTTTCTTTCGTAAAAGACTCACTCTGTGAATGTTCTTTCATAAAAAGACAGAACCTATGACTTTCTCCTTTATTTAAAGACTTTTCCTGACCAATTGTCATATTATGTTGATAACATCTTCCGAAAGTTTTGTTATGTAAAGGAAGTTTCCTTTGGCAGGTGTCATTTTAATAAGCGTATTCCGAAACAATGTTGTCATCTCAACTTTTAACATTGTAATAATTATATCCTTTTACATGAAGAGTCGTTCTCTCTTTTCCCTGTAAAAGGCATGGTCATAATCTATGACCATCTTCACATGTATTGGACGTAGAAATCTTTTCCTTACAATGTTCAAGATGGTTACCTCTGACACCAACTGTATTCTTCTGTTATAATTTTACCTCTGACATCGAAAATATTCATCTTTTTAATAATCCCCCCCCCCCCCCCCCCCTGACAACGACAACCTTTTTGTGTAAAAAAAAAAAAACAACAGATAATTACCTTTACATATAAACAACCCATGGCAGATTCTTTTATATAAATGACAATTACCCTTGACAGGCTCATGCATTAATGACATATGCCCATGACGTTTTTCACTGTAATTGTCATGCTGTTCCAGTAATTATCTTCCTATGTATGTGAAATATGCGCACAAAATTTGTGTCTCATGAAAAAAAGACATATTCCTGTTACCTTCTTCCAATATAAAGGACATAATGTGAGGCAACGTGGTGGAATCAGGCTCTCGTCAATTTTTGGGCATGTAGAGTTATTGGTATCATCTTAAAGCTTGTTCACTTGTCTTTATTTGGATGACAAAAATAACAATTTATCTTGAATACAAGTCGAGATATTTGCGAATGAAGGAAGTGGGGGTCACCTGTTTTCAGAGGTAAAAAAAGTTAGAAAATGGCCGCCAAAGATGAATTATTTCCTTAGCTGAAGGGGAGACGTACACTCCCGGAAAAAATTTCTAAACGAATGACTTTTATTCAATTTCAAGTAATTGTGCAAGAAGTTCATAGGTAAATATGATGTACTTAGGGTGAATTTGTTGAATTTTTCTAAAAAATGTGTCTCTGTGGCGGCCATCTTGGATTTTCACACCAGTTTCTTAGTGCAGAAGAATTTCATAGTAAATATTGAATTATCAGCCTGAAATTTGGCACACAAGTACAAACCTATATTAACTGGGGATCTATGAAAGGATTTTGACGTATCTTTAAAACAAAAAAAGTGAGCCCTAAGTCAGTGGACCCCCTAGAGTCAGTTGACGAAATTTCGGGGTACATATTACAAAAAAATTGAATATTTCCTTAAGTTACCAATATTTCCCAATTCCTTTTCATAGATCCCCAGAATCGATCTTAAAGCACCTGTACACCAAATTTGAAGCTTCTAGCTTCTGTAGTTTTTGAAAACTCCTTGCACCCAGGAGGTCACATATGTCAAAAAGTACATTTTGAGAAAAACAGAAAAAACAGGGATTTTTTAAAGGATTTTTAAAGCAATTTGCACTTTTCAAACGCCCTTTTAGGTTCTTTAGGGTGTTTTTTCAACAGTTTTTTCATTTTGACTCAATAGAACAGATGTCAAAAGGATGTTTTTCCGCAAAAAACAAAAGTTGGATAGTTTGAAAAATTGTATCGATATTGCCTTGGATCACCGACCTGGATCTTCCCTTAAGAGTCTGTGGTAACTAAAAATTTACATTTTTTGTGCCTTTAATCGACGTTTTTAAGAAAAATCAACACGGAAATGAGTTCTTTAATGGGCATGAAAGGTGATGAGCCAAAAAAACACAAAAATTTGATAAACATTCATAAACGTGCGGAAAAATGCAAGTTTCTTCACTTTTATTATTTTGATGAGAGCTTGATTCCACCATGCTGCCTCACATATCTTCAAAACAAACTTCACATCCAAAGGATATCATGTCACCAAAACCGTATCTTTATGTAAGAGACTAGTTGCCATGGCAGTCTTCTTTTTATGGAAAGGAACCTATTCTCATGGTTCCACTGACATCCATTTTATTAAAGTCAAATTCTCATGACAATAATATCGTTTCTGAAAAAAAAAAATGTTTCAATGACGATTTTTTAAAAATGTTGACAACATAATGCCCATGACAGATTCCCATTGCCCATGACAGATTCCCATTGCCCATGACAGATTCCCATTGCCCATGAGAGATTCCCATTGCCCACTCTGTATGTGAGTGACCTGTTCTTTACCTGATGTGAACATATTCCCTTTTCGTTTTTTTTCTAATTGGCGCCTTTTCATCAATCATGGACTGTCTTTTGATCCCAGAAACAATTGACCCCATAATAACATTTTGATATACATAACATATTCTTTCTCACCTATTTGCCCGAATGATTTTATTATCAGCCTCCTTGTGAAAGTTATAATTACATGCAAATCAATCACTTTCATTTTATATACAAATTATTAGTGGCCAAAGATGAGAATTGCTTGTACATAGACAAAGGTTTGAAAAAGCCTCCTTAATCATCTTTCTAAAAGAGGGTGAAGAAAATAGTCTCTCTTATAAATAGTTGACAATGTATAAACCTGTTTGATACAATCTCGTCATTGTTTGCCATTGTCTGCAGCCCTGGAGGGTTTCAATAACGTCCCTTTGCTGCACCCCTTGGAGACACTGCACAACAATCTGACCTACCACCAGGTGGACGACTTCCTGGGTCGCGTCACGCTCAACCGGTTTGCCGTACCTGACCTGTCCGCCCTGCATTCCATCGCGTCCAAGTCGCTGCTCAAGCTCAATTCTCCCGGCAAATGTAAGTTCCCAACGAGAAGGAGGTGGTGGTGATTCACCTTGAAGTGTGTATTTGTGCATGTGTGTGTGTGTTCGAGTGTGTGTGTCTGTCCGAGTGTATGTGTGTCTGAGTGTGTGTCTGTGTGTCACAGAGTGTCTGTCAGAGTGTATATGTGTCTGAATGTGTGTGTGTGTGTGTGTGTGTGTGTGTGTGTGTGTGTGTGAGAGAGTGTGTCTGTCCGAGTGTGTGTGTGAGTGTGTGTTTGTATGTGTCTTTGCATGTGCTTGTGTGAGAGTGCGTGCATGTGTGTGTATGTATGTGTATGTCTGCATATGGGTGTATATGTGTGTGTGTATGCATATGTGTATATCTGTATGTTGTTTGAGGGGGGAGGGGGGAGGTAAAAGTAGTCTAGATCTCGCTCATAATTTAAAAGGACAAAAATGGAATCCAGCGGGTTGTCGAGTTACCCTCTAGGCTAAGTCTTTTTTCCCCGATGCATATATTTCTTCAACAGCATAAAATCCTAGTGTTAACTGGCCTTGTTTCTCCTGCGCCCATTGGTTCTGTTAGTGTGGACATTAAATTTCCTTAACTGTGGACCTGCTTAATGTTGAATTTACTTCAAGATTAATAATTCAGTAACTGTTTTGTAAGATTCGTCGGACCGTGATAGCCTCCAGGCGGCTAACTACACTGTGGCACTGTTTTTTGGGGGTTTGTTTGTTTTTTTAGTTTGCTGGTGTCTTGTTTTTTTTAATGCAAATTAGTTATGATTTATGCTATACTTCATATATGCAGCTGCATGATCGTTTTATGAAAAAGATTAAAATAAAGGGGTAACATGTTTTAATTATCGTTCGGGATTTTGTTGCTTCCAGTCCCGGATCAGATGCCGTCTTCAAGCAACTCCAGCGGAGGTCCGAACTCCCCGACCATCCAGACGAATCCGGCAGACCTCATCAAGACCCTGGGCATGTACATCAACAACCGCAGCCCGCAACAGAGCGAAGGGGAAGAAGGAAAGTTGACTGGTGAGCTTTTGGAAAGATGAGATAAGATATGATAATACTTAATTGTCTCAGAGGAAAATTGTTTTTTTGGCTGTAAAGGACCGTATAAACACATGCAAGTAAAGAAAAGTTGTTCCCGCATCCGACCCGGACATTGGGGATTGCCTTGTTAGTGAGACAACTTCCTGGGCCTTCAGCATAATGTGGTAGGGTGGCCAGTTCCTTTCCATGCCGCCTTTGCTTCCCCAACTCAAAGTCAGCTTACCATTACTGCTGGGTGGGTAGGAGGGGGTGAAAAAAATCTGTGTTCGAACCGAGGCTCGAACCCGGACTTTCCGCTTTGGAGATGAGCACACTAACTGCTCCACCTCCGCACCCTCACATGCAAGTATACATAGAAATTCAATTATATATTACTCTCATTAAAATTCAGTATGAAGAGAAAAGTAAAGCTGACAATAACACACATGTCACATCAGATGTATCATTCAACCACATGCAGGAATATATCTCAATACCTTTAGAGTTGTATAGATACATGTATTTATTCGAAACGGCAATACACTTTGATGTTTTTTCCGACAGTAGCTTTATACTAGATGGTAAGAAACTTCTTTTGTATCTTTCATAGAAAAGGATGCCGTTGGGCCATCGTTTGTTTTGGAAATAGTAAGGCTTGATTGTTTGTGCAATTTTCAGCTCGTTAAATGTACTTAAAAGACAAGACCTCCGATGTTATGTCCATAAGGAGTATGGAGGGGTTTGAGAGCTGTAAACTTTCCTCAAACTACCCAAGTATGTTTAGAAATGCTGCCAGAGCGGAACCTTTCCAATATTGAGCACACTGCAGTTTAACCGTGATATTTTGAGGGGGGGGGGGGGGGGAGTTCTGGAGTGGTTTGTTCCTTCTTTTCTATCAAGCGTCTATCATCCTTATCTCTCCTCTTCCCTTTCTTTGTATGTTACTCTTGAGTTGAACCTCTCACTTTAATCTGAAACTAAAATTTATTTGTTTTGTTTTGCTTTCCGTACCAACTTTTATATGCTTCATGTGGTGTTTTTTTTCCTTTTGTTCAGACACAAACAGCAGTCAGAACTCGATCGGAGATGAAATCCAGGACGTGGAGGAGGTGACCAACGCGCTGACCGGCAGTCTCATCGTGACCATGCAGGGAGACGACTTGACCATGCCTCCTGGTATTGAGCCGGATATCTTTGACCTGGAAGATTCTGGACTTAAGTGACCGGTCCAGAAATGACAATGATTATCATTGATTCCCCACCCCACCCCCACCCCCACCCAAAGCTGTTCCCCTCTCTCTCTTTCTCTCTCTTTCTCTCTCTCTGTCTCTCTCTGGATGTGTCTCTCTCTCCTCTCTCTCTCTCTCTCTCTCTTTCTGGCTTTCTCTCTCTCTCTCCCTCTCTCTCTCTGTGGGTTGTTGGCGGGTGCTCTGGAGATACTTACTCCTTCTTTCCTATCAGATGTCCATTGTCCTTATCTCCCCTCCTTCTGTCTTGTGTTTGTTACTCTCTTGTAACACCTCTAATATTCTGCACTTATATGACGTAATTGTGTTGCAAGTGCTGTAAAACTCTGACTAAAACAAAATCTCTGTCTCTCTCCCTCTCCCTCCTTCTCTCCTCTCTCTCTCTCCCCCCTCTCCTCTCTCTCCTCCTCTCTCCTCCCCCTCTCCCTCTCTCATATATTGGATGTTTAGAACCTGCCTACAGCTCTGTGTGTGTGTGTGTGTGTGTGTACGTAAGAGAGAGAGAGGAAGAGTGTGATGTGTGATTGAGTGAGAGAAAGAGAGATGCTAGCTATCGCTGAATTTTCATTGCAAAAACTTCCGCATTACCTGTGAGTCAAAACATGACAACTCCCAAGAGGAGCATTTTGTGTGCGTATGTCTGTGTGTGTGTGTGTGTGTTTTAGCATTTCTATTTCTCTGTTTGGATGCCTACCTCTTAATTGATTTAGATCTATATCAAGTTGATTGGTGTGTAAAAACTCTTTCAATTACTTGCTTACATATGTTACAAACAGATACATATTACATATATATATATGTTTGTGTGTGTGTGTGTGTCTGTGAAGCATCGTGGTGAAATCAGGCGCTCGTCAAAACGATGAAATTAGAAGAAAACGGCATTTCTGTCAAATTAGCAATTTTTATAGAATTTTTGTTTTCTTGCTCACCATCTTTTATGTCGATTTGAAAACATTTCTGTTAATTTTCCTGAAAAATATTGATTAAAAGCACAAAAATGTAAATGTTCAGTTTCCAAGGACTCTCAAGCTAAAGAAGTTGCCAAACTTCGGTGGCCACTTTCTCGCTAGTTTTACCTCTGAAACGAGGTGACCCCCACTTCCTTCAATCGCAAATATCTCGACTTCTATTAAAGATAAATGGGTATTGCTTTCCCTGAAAGCAAGACAAATGGACAAGCTTTAAGTGGATATTAATAACTCCCTGTGTCCAAAATTTGACAAGCACCTGATTCCACCGCATCGTGACATATATATATATTTGTGAAGCAGCGTGCTAAAATCAGGCGCTTGTCAAAATAACAAAATCTTAGAAACAGGCATTTTTCTACCATATTGGAAAGTTTTGTCAAATTTTTATTTTTTGGCTTATGTCCATATTGATTAAAGATACAAAATATGTCATTTTTCAGTTTTCTAAGACTCTTTAGCCATTGGAGTTACCAAACTTTGGCGGCCATTTTATCGCTTATATATTTCACCACTGAAACCAAGCGACCTCACTTCCTTCCATCGCAGGTATCTTGAGTTCTATTCAAGATAAAGGGATGTCTATTTCATTGAAAGCTAGGCAAATATATCAGCTTTCAGATGATACCAATAACTCCACATGCCCAAGTATTGACGAGCACCTGATTCCACCGCGTCATCACACACACACACACACACACACACACACACACACACACACACACACACACACACACACACACACACACATACACACACACACTCATATATATATATATATATGAAATATCTGTTTGTGTGTGTGTCTGTTTGTGTTTATTAATAATAAAGGTCATGTCTTCAGTTTGAGGTGCTTATTCTCTTTATAACAAGAAGCTCTAAAATTGAACTGATCTTTTCAGGTATGTAATAAGTTTGCGAGCCAACCACCACATTCTTTTGTGCTTAAATCTGAAAAATACTTGTTGTGTGGAGAGGGCAACTCAGGAGGCTTCCGCAACAGTCGAGAAATTTTCGGAATGTTCTTGTGCATGGGAGCTGCTGAATACATTCTACAAGGGGTTGTTTCCTGCTGTGAAAGTGGCACACTAGGCGAGCTGAAAAGCAAGCCATCCCTCTTTGGTGGAAAAAAAGAATGTTTGATCCACAACCCTCACCCACCCCCCACCCCCTACCCGCCGGCCCCTTCCCCAACCCATTAATCCTTAAATTCTCACCAAAAGGGCATGCTATTGGCGCAGTCAGCATCATGCTTGGTTATTGTGCAAATGACCTTGGTTCGAATCTCCAGTAAGTCGTTCATAAATCTGGGTTGTTCAGGGAGTTTTCAAGGCTCTTTTCTGTTATAACATCGTCTTTTAGGATCTATTTGATTTTGATGCTGTTGTCTTTTTAGATGGTTTTTTTTCTGACTTATTTTATCGTGGTGACCATAATCATTTTGATGCTCGCCCCTTTTTGATATTTTAAGTCATTTTGTTGTCACAGTGTCCGTCCTTTGTGGCATTATAGTTATCAGGGCCTATTTTTAGTCATAATATTCAGAATGTAGGAAAACATTGTTTTACGGATGCGTATTGTTTCTGCCGTGTGTTGTCTATATTGTTTTCAGTGAATTCATTTACTTACCTTTTTCACCTCACTGGGGGTGGTGTGAGGTCCATTTTATATGGAAGTTTTTGCGTTGTTTTGTCCTGGGATCTAAGAAAAAATCTTCAGTCTGCTGTTCAGATGTACCATGCTCAAAATTTTGACAAAGTTTATTTTATCACAGATTCTTAACTCCTGAACTCGGGCAAGTCACTCCTAGTGGCTTGCAGTCGAAACCGCTGTGACTGATCCGCTGCGATCAGTGGCTGGGGCAAATTCTCTTACAATGACAATGTTATATTAATTTATGTCAGTTGCCAAAAATAACTCTCGCTGGGAGTTTCTTTCATTAGATGAAGATCTATGAAAGTAGGTTCATTAGTTTTGATTCAATTACCAATGTAGTGACCTGTATGTCACTCTCAGGTTCGTGCCAGCGTAGTGGGAAAACCCTTTCCACAGATTAAGAGTTTGTCTATGGCATCGGTTGCATGTGTTCGAAAAATATTTTCTCCAAATTTGAATTCCAAATGTTGAAATAAGCAAGAAGAGATGCATAATAGCCTACATGTTCAATTTTTAAAAGAAAAAGTTGTTGTTTTTTTCCTCCTCTGAGAAATTTAGCTGTCTGGGCTTTGACCTGTTGAACAGCTTGCTGACTGCATGTTGATTGGGTCAGAGGCTTCTTTGTTTCGTTAAAGCCTTCGCTTTTTATAAGTCTACTTCTGTTAAACAGTTATTCCTCTGAGAACACTTTCTGACGCAGGAAAATAGGAAACTGCAGTTTGCAACCATCCATTTTTTGAGGATCCAACAGTGTTTTGTAAGGGTTTTTTTCTAGACCACAATTCAATTTTGGTGACTTAAGTTCCACCCTTCGAGTGCTGCAAGAATTGAATGCTAACAGAATAAATGTCTGTCCAGTCAATGCAGAATCCGTCTGCTTTTTATTTCATGGAGTTCCTGTGGTTATTGTTGAAAGGTCTTGTTGGTGTATAAGTGCTTGAGCACCTGCAGCTCTGCCGATTAAAATGATGCTTCACGGGAAGATGAACATATTCCAGAATTTTCTATAGAGTCCATTGAGTAATAATCACTGAGCACAGAAAGCTAACTGTCGAGTCAGGATATGTGTTACGTGTATACCAATGAGGAGTCATTGGGGAAAACGGGCAAGGTTACAAAATGTAAAGTTGTGACCAAATCAATTTTTTTAATTTGTAAGAATCATTTTCGTTTTATTGTTGGTTAGTTATTATTCATCAGTTTCCCGTTCTACTGCTATGAAAAATAATAAACCAACAGTCCTACAGAAATAAAGTTCTGAGTCTACTAGCTTTTACAATTGATTTGCTTTTCCCAGTTTCTTTTTTGTGACCTTGCTTGTTATTCCCGTAGACACCTCAAATCGTGTCTATTTATTCATGTTATTTTTTTGTCTTGTACTGTTCCAAGCTTCTGTGGTGAACAAAATGTTTATCAGAAATGCTGCCAGCTTTTTTTGCAATAAATACAGTCTAGCATGCACATATCAAAATGTTCACATATCGAAACATACTCATAGCGAACTCACACGTATCGAAACATAGCCATAGCGAAACATACACAGAACGTACAGATTTTCAGACCCCAAATTCTTTCTAACATATCCATTGTTTGTACTGAAAGTACGCACATAGTGAAATTTGTACATATTAGACAAAGATTTCTGCGTCCTGTAATAATGTTATGTGGGTGCCAGACTGTAAATGAACTGTCTTAAGCATTACTGTTATAAATGCTATTGTTCCCTTAGCCAGAGCTGTATTCTCCACAGTATTTTTTAGCCACAAATTTATCTCGTTATTATTCATTTTTATACTGCCGGAAAAGAAATGATTGATATTGTTAAATCGTGAGTATTTTTTCTATAAGCTGGAGTGTCTCAGAACTGTCTTTCTCTCGTATTGTGAAAACTTTTCCAAATAAGTGAAATCCATAATCAAACTAGTTTTGGTCCAGCCATGCTCCAAAACTGTTCAGCCATAGCTCCTTTATTTTATTATGGCTCTGTAATTGATGCTTTTCCCGAAAATAGGGGTTGCTTTGCCCCCAGTTTCCATGTTGTAACCTTGCCTGTTATTCCCGTAGACACCTCTAATCCGGTCTATTTATTCATGTTATTTTTTTGGCTAAGAAGACAAAACATTGGCTAAAACAGCACCTGGACATGGATGGCTGGTGCCTCTATAAATAAATCATTGATGGTCCGGGGGTTGCTTGGCTCTTAACTTTTCTCTTGAGTAAGCAACATCATTGATGTGCGTTTGGTATGACTTTTGATCTGTCTCGAACCTTAGAAGAGCCCGAGTTATTTTTGGACTTCTCTCTGCCCGGTGTCCTGAAGGAAGGGGGGACCTTCGAAATGACCCATTTTATTTATGTCTAGTAGGGTTTTGAACTCAACAATAACAATGTACACTCGAACCTGCTCTAAGGATCACCTGTTCAAGACAACCACTTGTCCATAGGGCCATTTCTCCCTTTACTCTTTTTTTTTTTAATGGTCACTTTTAAGCACAAGGAGGTTATCCTAAAAAATGCTGTTTTTTGAAAATCGAAGGTAAAGTTTTCACCGTTCAGGTTTTTTTAATAGACAAGGAGAGTTTTCTCTATAACCAAACAAATATAAATACCAATGAAACCAAACTTCTACAGGTAGGGCAATGCCCACTTTTGCCGTGTTGGTCAAGATTTCTGGAAACCCCAGGAATCTGGGTGAGCCCGCTTGTCCTTAAAAGCGACCAAATATGATGACACTGTCCACAAGGACAACCGAAGTCTAAGGTAACCACTTTTCTCCATCTCCCCTTTTTTTCTTCTTAGACTGGTGTAACTGTATATATCCCATAGGTAATGAGACTGGTAGAATTTGTCCAACATGTGTTCTGAAACTTCTGAGATTTTTCTGTAGGTCGAATTCATGTGTCGAGAGAATGGATAGAATTTGTCAGTTATGTGTTGTGCACCTTTGCTGATTTTTCTGAAGGTCCGATTTATGTGTCAAAGCAAACATTCAACTTTTCTCACAATAGAGCCATTCAGAGATAAGGTAACAAATTGAGGTGCTTTCAGATCTTTGATAAGTCAAGGTTTTTTTTGGGGGGGGAAGGGGGGGGGGGGATTTTGTCTACAAATAAAGATCTGCACAAGTCTGCCATGACGGGAGATCATCTGATTAAAAAACATTTTTCATATAATATCTGGAATAATAACGTGGTGTTTTCAATTTGTATTGTACTGGATATAAATGAATGACGGATGATACGGATCTACACCATTTTGTTTTCCAGTCTGTGAACCAGTACTTACATCTTGTCTTGTGGTTTGATTTTTCTGTGTTCATCTCGTCTCGTGGGATTTTGTTTTATAATATTCTTGATAGCATTATTTGTACATCATGGTTGTTGCGACGAGAGAGCCCCACTTGCCTTGGTACACTGTTGTTTGTGCAATTCATGACAAAATAAACAGGAAAAAAAACATGTTATGAGGAAAGCTGTATCAGTGTGTCTTTGATTGCCACGTGCATGTTAGTGACTGTTGTGATTGTGGTGTCTTTGATTGTATTGTTACAATGTGAGTCTTCCGAGAAGCAGAGTGTTTCCTGAGTTCTCTAATGTCCAAATTTCATTTTCGGTGACTGTGACCTATATGACGAGCACTGTTCGTTGTTTTACCTCATGTGATGTGGTGGAGGAGGAGAGAAACTGCAGACGAACGATGCACCTCAAACCTAAGGAAGCCTGAATATCACACAGATGAAAACTGTTCGTGGTATTTTGTATTCGCCATCCAACTGTTTCTGTTCTTCACTAGCTTTGTAAAATAACTGCAGATTCAAGTTCAGCTATACTTTATCTGTGCAAAAAAATCTTTATCTTTCAGAAACACTTGGTTCTATTTATTGAATTAATTATAGGCAATTGACAGCTCAGTTGAACTCCTCCCTTTAGTCCGGGGGATCCAAAATTGTACTCAGTGAAACACAAGATGACCCTTCATCACGAAGGGTTAATGCAAACATGTTGCTACATGAATATTTCTAGAGTTTTCGATATCTTCAAAGTAGTTAATTTTTAGGAGTGAAAACTATCACACGGTTATAAGTAGCTCCCACAAGTTTTGTCATAATTAGCCTACCAAAAATATAATTAAATTTTAAGTGAACTATACACATACAGTCGGGCACAGATAAATCAAAAACATGTCAAATATGTTCGACACATCCATACTTCGCGTATACCATATTGCAAAAAATTAAAGAGATATCAGTCCGGGAACGATAAATTATACCGGCTATCCGTGATTTCGAGCTTTCTGTGTTGGTGAACACAAGAGTGTTCTAAGCTGACTGCTTTAACTATAGTATATAATCCCCCATTTGGTTCTTTGGCTTTGTCAAAAAGCTGAACACACACAAAGACAGTCTCAAACAGACAGTTTTAATTTTAGTTATAGTTTTTCAGCACTTGCAACACAACAAGGTCATATGATATATTTTTTTTATAGTAGAGGGTTTTACGACGCTCGCAACTGCATAAGGTCATATGAGCGCCAAGGGGTGGGTGTTAACAGAGAAGTCTTTACAGGGAATCAGACTTATTTTGCTCACCTCTCTAGCTTCAACAGCACAAAATCTGCTTCGACTATCAAGGCACTCCAAAAATAGCAGGTCACAAGAGAGTGACAAACATACAAAAGAAGTAGAGGAAAATGACAATAGTAAGGATTAGGAAAGAAAAAGCAGCAGTTACCTGTAGATCAGGCACAGTTATGAGCGTGACATGAATCGGCCCATTTACAATTCTACTGTGCTTGAACGAGAAATCTCTCCCCTTTGGGAATGGCCAAAAGACACTACAGTCAGTGGCAAGGTCATATGAGTGTCGAAGATTAGAGGTGTTGCAAGAGAATAACAAGCACAAAAAAGGAGGAGAGATAAGGACAATAGATGATTAATAGGAAAGAAGGCGCAGAGCACCTGCTAACCACCCACACAAACATTAAGGAGGCAAAGTAAACATAACAGACGTATGTTTGATATGTATATTTATTATAATTCTCTCTATAATTTATGGGGGCAAATGGAGAAGTGAATAAATTTGTATAGTCTCAAATACAAAATACAAAAGAGTCAGCATACGTTGTTAATTAGAAGTGCACAAGGCTCACAAACATATTTTTACAAATGGAATGTAGACAATACCCACACAATTTACTCTGTATGTATGTACACATGCAAAATGCAATGTTCATCCTTCGTGGAAAACGCCCCACTGAGCTGTAGGCCATTATATGAAAACACAAGACTCTCTTTAGTGTAAGGTAGCTCTTGACCAAGAATGCAGGAGATGTGACCTATACCACAGTCATCACAGCATACAGCAGGACTAAGCAGGAGAGTTTTCATTGACCCATATCACACAAGCAATGGATGCTGATGATTGCAGTTTTTAAAGAAAAATAAAAAACACGTATTCACTTTGTAGCTTATAAATAAACTAAAAGAAAGTTTTGGAAGCTTTCATGATGAAATGAAACGGGCAAGAAGAAAGGTGTGTGTCATCTCATTTTAACACAATCGGTTGTAGTTCTTTCTCAAATAGGCAGCTCATACATCACCTATTCTCCTTTGTCAAAGATGCTCTTAATTTCAAGGCCCAGTTTTTATCAGTCGTTGTTCTTTCTCGACCTATAAAATGAAGAGAACATATGAAGTCTTCTTTTTTTTTTTAAAGAAACGTTCTTGATTTAGACCCATTATCAACAACACAGCTTTCTTGACAACAAGAACAGAGCGAGCCTATTTATTCGTATTTTTTATTCTTCTTTTTTTTTTTAGATTTGTTCCACATTTCTGAACTTGAATCTGTCAGTATTTCATCAATTCAAAAAACCCCACTTGTCTTTAACATGAATTAATCATCATGCCCATCCATTAAAAAATCTCACTACCACGTTGATTTAACTGTTCACATTTGACCTGATACTTTTGCAGAACAGACCTGCAAAAATATAATTTTGATTTGTCTTTCGGGGCTTTTTTAACAATGAAAAAATGAACCATGTAAGGACAATGAAACGAAGCATGTATAATCATTCATAAATACACAAAACAAACATCAAATTTCATTATTTGAGCACTTTACATTTCAGCTATCCCTTCTAGATGATGTCAGCGCAGAAACAACACATTGTTTACATCCTGCTACTCCCTCCCACCCCTAAAAAAATTAATTTATCTCATACATAAATTCATTTCTTTCTTTCATATTAATCATTCTCTCATTCAAAATGACAAGTAAAACTTGTTCCTTATACAGTAGAGTTGGATTTGCCTACAGAAGTAGCACCACACATTTCTTTCCAGGTTGGTTTCTAGATATCTGAAACGGTGAACCTCCAGTAATCACATTTTTCTTATTTCCAGTGTACAAAGAAATCTAATCTAAAATGTACTAGTAGTACAGTACAACGCTGACATGAAAAACCATGATTTTATTTGAACTCTCATCGAAAAGATTCTAGTTATAGTTTTCTCGTATTCCATCCTGTCTTTCCCCAGCCTCAGATCTGAGTGCAGTTAAGTAAATTTGTCAGATAAAGAAGAATTAAGTAAGGTGTATGTAATAGATACAGAAAAGACTATAGGTCTGTAAGGTGATCCCCTTACAATGTTTGCAAAAAAACACGGACAAAACATTGAAAAAAAAAAAAACAACAACAACACTACATTCCCCATCCAACCATCTGGTTTACTTTTTTTTGCTGAAAGTGCAAACCCCCTTAATTTTCACAGCGTCTCAGACACCATGTTAGAGCCCAATAGATTTTTTAAAATCTTACCTTCTTCAAAATCAAATACCATAAAGTGGGCTGGAAGTGGAAGGTATAAACCACCATCCACCCCCCAAAAATATGCAGCTTTTTGTCTGGGGTGCCTCACTTTTCACAGAAAAAGTATATCGTCTGCATCATTCCACAAGCCCCCAAGTAATTTCTTTTTCAAAGTTTTGAAAAAATTCAATCAAAAAGAGAGTACCCAAATTAAAACTATTTCATAGGCACTCAGGGATTAAAGTTAAAAACTAAGACGGAAATGACTTTAAAAGAGTATAACTATATTACAAGATGCCCCTAGATGTCTTTATTCTAAATCTAATAACAGCTCTACCTGGAAAACCCCAAGAAATTGACTAGGTGATTGTGAAATGATGCTGGTGATATTGATATTAAATACAACCGTAATAAAAAAAACTCATCAGTTCAGTTTACAAGAAGAGTTAAATCATGGTATAAAAAGACCAAATGAAAGCAGAAAGCATATTCACGACACAATTCAAAAAGAATACAGACCATACAAACAGATATATTTTGCCTTTCATAATTATTCCTTTCAAGAAAATTCAAAATCAAAATGTGCAGCAAACAAATTTCATATCACTATATGTGAGCATAAATCAGAAAAAGTTGCTGAAAAAATTCTCAAAAGAAAAAATAATCTAGCACTCAAGTCTTCTTTCCACTTAGTACAAACTGAAGCCCGAAAATTTTGCTGAATATTTTCAAGTCGTAAGAAGGCAGTTGGAAGAAGGTTCCATTGGGCAGGGCACTTGACTCGGTCCGATACAGCTCTCTCATCTACTGCGTACCACTGTTCAAAGGGCACCAAGACTTGTCTGAGACCGCGAGCCTGCAGGGAGAGAGGAGGGGCACATACAACATGAGATGGACAAAGTACCTTACTTAATAATAATAATAATAATAAATAAATAGCATTTGTATAGCCCATATCCCCGCTCAACAGCAGGCTCTATGTGCTTTACACTATATTATTACCCCAGCAGACCATAGAACACTACGAAACATTCTCAGCTTCCCGGGAAGCACACAAAGCAAGCAGCAGATTAAGCGCTCAAACACTAACAAACTGACAAGATCTTTCACTGTCCATAGCCGGGTACCCATTCCCACCTGGGTGAAGTGAGGAAAATTCGTGTAAAGTGCCTTTCCCAAGGACACAACGTTGGGTCCCTGACGGGATTTGAACCCATGACCTTACGGTTGCGAGTCCGAGAGCCCAACCACTAGGCCACAGACGCCACTGAATTTCATCATTTTTTCAACAAGATTTGTCTTTTTCACACACATCGTGCGAGACAGAGCCAAGGCGTAGAATGGGAGTACTTGTTCAGTCTTAGTACTTTAAAGTTGTTAACATCGTTATGGCTTGTTCTGTGCAGGTCTTGTCAATGAATGAATCATCTCATAATTTATCTATTGGTACAAGTTTTACTGATCTGTCTCTTATAATAAGCAAAAGAAACGTCGATCAAAGATTGTGACCTGTGACGCCTTGCACAGGGCAGAATTTCCCTCAGCATGTGAGGTGCATATATGGTTAGCATTCAAGGGGTTAATCATCGCAATATTCCATGAATTCCATGATATTTTGTTCCACTGATCTTTTTACGGCATTTGCAACACAATTAGGTCATATAAGTTCCGACGATAAGAAGTGTTGCAAAAAGAGTAACAAACAAAAAAGAAGGAGAAGATTTGGGGGTGTGTGCAAGCAAGATATATGGGACAGAAGAAGAAAAGGAAGAGTCACTCAAGGGAGAGTGTGGATGGGCACATCTCAAAAATCAAGAGAGCTTTTGCTAGGACAATCCTCTCCTGCAGTTCACAGTATAAAGTGGGAGAAAGAGGGGCAGGTCAAGAAAGAGATCAGAGGTCAACATGAGGATAGACAGTTCGCTACCCTAGAATTATAAAATCCTATCAGATCAACATCTAGTTTTGAGAAATTTGAAGTAAAAAATTTTTAGTTTCACATGTTCAGCTCTTTCAAATGCAATTCTTTGCACATCTTGATAACGACTTCGAATAATCTTACAACTTTGATAGAGCAGATAGAACATTATATTTCTGACCTCATGATCTTAGCAACTCCAAAACGGCCAATAAAAAACACTGTAGTTCTGTCCCCGTCATTATATGCACGAAAAATTATGAAATTATGCCAAAATGAGCCCAAAAATGATAAATTATGCGATTCTGTTAATTTTAACAAAGAATGATAAAGGAAAATAATCAGAAATTATGCAAAAAATTATCAAATTTTGCTAAATTATGCGGGGTGCATAAAACCACGCGGACAGGTAGTTCAAATGTAGTGAGGTATTACAATGAGCGATGCTAAAAGAACTTAAGAGAAAAGGATGGGACAGGAGCAGCTGGCTGGAAAGTCATCTGTGGTGCCTCCACAATCAATGACCACACTGTCGAAAGCTGACAAAACGCCTTTTTTTATATTTTGTCGCTAGATAATTTTATTTGCTAAATCGAAAGCCTGATCAGTTACCCTACTTGTGTGCAAAAAGTAAAATTGAAACTGTCGCTAGTTTTTTAATCAATTAGAATTCAGATTTCGGAATGACTCCATTTTTAAATGATTAAGCTAACGAAAAACCTCTTTCCTTCGAAACTGCTCTGAAGAAAAAAAAAGCGTTTTTCAGCTTACGGCAGTACAGTATAACGGTGAAGGTGAAGGACTTACGGCGAAGAGTTCCCTTGGCAGATCTCGGACGTCCAGAGGATCCAAAAGCAACTTCAGACTGAGGCCGCTTCTGTGGGTGACGACCTTTGAGGTCGTCAGTCACGCGCAGTACACGAGTGCTTCCATAAGCCGACTCTGCTTTTTTCAGGTATGTAGGAGGGGCACTGTAGGTGCTCATAGGGTGTTTCAAATGTGTCGCCACTGGGGGGAAAGAATGATATCAGGCCTCAAAACATCTCGTTCATTACACTTACCGCCCAAATGTCTGAAGAGATAACACAGCAGGGGTTTCCATCCTGAAGAAAATTGAGGGAAAACGGCACAGAAAAGAATGAAGCAAACAGTACAAAGAATTTTGGAAACTGTACGTTTAAAAGTCATAGATCTCAAGGGCTGCAAGAAAAGTATCTCACAATCTACAGAGATAGAAATGAGTCAACGATAGCTTTCCGGGGCCTAACAGGCTACAATACTGTAATGCTCCTAAGCACTGGGTTGAAAAATAAACAAGAAAATGGGGTTTATATTGTGAAGTCATGAGGGTCTTCCACTGAAGTCATGTTAATCAACAATTACAAAATATGATTTAAAAGACATACGTTGAAGTTCAGTTTGGATTTCAAAAGAGTTGTTAACATTCCAGTGAGATATGTATGTTAGCTCTGAGCTTGCGGGTATTCTTACAGAAAAATAATTCTGAAGAAAAATTGTTAATATTTCTACAGGAAAGTCCTAAGCAGACTTATTGAAAATTGTCACATTAACTTTTTAACCTTTAAAATAGCAAGGCTATTGCGCACTTATGCTTCTTTGACTGCTTGATTATTGTAAACAAAAAGCTAATCATACTAATGAGATACTCAAATTACTCAGGAAAATATAATGAGGGGGGGGGGGGTAATTGACAGTCAGACAAATTGACTTTCAGGAAGGATGAGCATGGAGTGGAAACCCCTAAAAGAGAAATGTTGACCACTTGCTGGCGAAAGCGTAAGATCTAGCCAGAAAAAGCAAAGATAATCATAAAAGCTTGAACTTGTTTTGGTATACAATAAACTGTAAAATACATGTAGTTTCTAGCTGATATTATTCCTTCAAAGCAAACTTCAAGCGACTGATTAGTCTAATAATTATGTAACAGTTGGGTATGCTGTCCAACACATTGGTATTTTTAATGTGTGATACATCAGACATTTGATAAAATATGTCCCAAGAAGCTTTCATGACAAATTGTAAATTGTCAACTTAAGCAAAATTAAAGGTATTCATAACCTTTTTACTTGCAAATGATGCTACATGATTTATAACAATTTGAAAGCATTACGTACATAATCCAATTACAATATTTATCTTTACAAAACAAAATCCAGTGGTTACTTCTATCATTCGAGTCAGTGTTAAGAATACTGAGGATTACAAATTGATGTAATAACTGTTGTAGGTTACATCCTTAAAATAAGCTGATTTTAAAAGTACCATGTATTTTTTCATCCTGTCTAATTAAGGATAATCTCTTTAAAATTACATTTTAGTCAGAGCACAAGCACAGCACACAAACAGTCACAAACCACAACACACAAACAGTCACAATCCACAAAACATAATACAAAACAGAATAAGTATACACAGCAAATCCACTCTTATAATACTTGGTGGCGTATCATCCTTTATCTTTTTTAAACAAAATTTAGAAACTGAAATAATATACGTCCTTTTTTCGATGTCAATTTACTTCTTCACAGTTCTTTAAATGAACAAAGGAGCTTGAACAGCATTATCTTTGGAGAACAGTCTAAACATGTTACTGTTTTTTATCAGTTTCTGCTACGACTATGACAGACCGACAGAAAACAGGGAAAAATTTATGCTTAAAGAGAAAAAGCCAGGACGGTAGAACATAAATTTTTTTTCCTTTAACATTGCAGTCATAAAATCTAAACCAGGTGCTTTACAAAAATGTTTTTTTGGGTTTTTTTGTTTTTTTAATGAGTAATCTGCTACGTCGTGGAAAAAAGAAAGGGAAGGCCTCCGCCTAAATGCCTGAGGTACTTTTTTGCATTGAAATCAAAGCTCAAGTAGTTGAGGCTCACCATGTCTAGCACTAAGAGAGCTCATTCGAACAAGGTTTGACAAAGCAAGGTAGCAGAGGAAGAGAAGGAGTGTGTTGTGGGGGAGGGGGGGGCGTGAAGAGGTGGAGGGGGAGGAAGGATGGGGTTGTGAAGGGGTGGGGGAAGAGGGAGTTGTTTTGAAGGGGAGGAGGAAGAAGTGTGAGGGAGTGGGGAAGAACATGAAAGTAGGAAGGGGGTGGAGGTATGAAGGGAATAAAGAGGGACAGGGGGAAAGGGTGAGAAAGAGAGAGAGAGAGAGATAGAGAGAGATGGAGAGAGAGTGAGAGAGAGAGAGAGAGAGAGACAGAGACAGAGAGACAGAGAGAGAGAGACAGAGAGAGAGGGGGGGGGGAAGAGTTAATCCCTTATTCTTCCATCTTGAATAGGTCAAGATATTTGTGATTGAAGGAGGTGGGGCTCACTGGGTTCAGAGGTAAAATTTTCTAGAAAATAGCTGCCAAAGTTTGGCGACTTCCATAGCTTGAGAGTCCTTGAAAACTGAAAATTTAGTTCATGTCTCTTTAATCAACGTTTTTCGTTAAAATCCACACAGAAATGTTTTTTTTTTAATGAACATAAAATACGTTGAGCCTATAATAAAAAATTCGATAAAATATCCAAACCAGCAGAGAAATGTCAGTTTCTTCGATTGCAGTATTTTGACGAGCGCCTGATATCACCACGACGCCTCACATTTGTTTAGTCTCAGTACTTTCAAGCTGTTTATATTCCTATGGCTTGTTCTGCGAAGACCTTGTCAATGGATCAAGCCATCTCTTCATTTCTTTCTCCATTATTGATATATATATTGACAATGACAATGACAATGACAATCTTTATTCATCTCGCAGGGAGAAATTTGTCTTGGTCGTTAACAATGGCAGTAGACGTTACAAAGGTTAGACTTAAAGGTGCACTCACGCAAACGCACAACAAGACAGGACATTTTGCCAAGTAAATACATGTCTCACGGGCTGGGACAACCCGCTCCGTAACACATTCATTCTCTCTCTCTCTCTCTCTCTCTCTCTCTCTCTCTCTCTCTCTCTCTCTCTGTTTCATTTGTAGCACTGTGTGTTCAGTAACCTCACTGCAGTTGTTACGAATGAATTTCTATATCTGTCTGTTCTTGCTTTTTTGGAAATGTATCGTTTACTGCGGGTCGATAGTTGAAATTCCGATGTCAGTGGGTGGCTATGGTCACTAAGCATTATTTCCGCCTTTTTTAGAACGTTTGTCTTGTGCAGATATTCAAAGTTACTTAGGTCTCTATCAATTGTTCTTGATGCCTTTTTTATCAACTTATTTAGTTTTATAATGTGCTGCCTTCCCAGATTGCTACCATAGCAAGTGATTCCAAAATTGATCAAAGTTTCTATTGTGGTGGTGTAGAAAATCTGAAGGATGGATGGATTCAGATTGAAAGACTTTAGTTTCCTCAGAAAGTACAGCCTCTGATTTACTTTTTTAACGATATTGTTTACGTGGTTTTGCCATGTAAATTTGTTGTCTATTGTAAGGCCAAGATATTTGTATGAATCCGTGATTTCAATAGTTTCTTGTTCAATTACGAGTGGTGGGATTGTTGGTTTTTCTCTTCTAAAATCAAAAATCATTTCCTTTGTTTTTGAGAGGTTCACTTTTAGAAAATTTGAGTTGCACCATTTAAAAAACCTACATATTTCTTCGAAATACTCTTGTTCATCATGGTTTATTAATCCAATAATAGCGGAGTCATCTGCAAACTTAATTAAGCGTGTTGTTTTATAAATACTTCTATGATCGTTGGTATATATAGTATACAAAACTGGTGACAAAACACACCCCTGAGGACCGCCGGTGTTACAAAGAATTGTGTCAGATTTTGTGTTGTTTAGCTTCACATATTGTGGTCTACCTGTCAAAAATTCCAGGACCCATGCTGCGATATGATGACTAACTCTCAGACTCATAAGTTTTTCAATGACAATATGCGGTTGAATTGTATTAAATGCTGAGGAAAAATCTACAAAAAGTACCCTCGTATACGTTTTAGATGTTTCAAGGTGTTTCAGTATAGAGTCACAAAAAACAAGTACAGCATCTTCTACGTTCCTCTCTTGTTTGTATGCAAACTGGAATGGATCTAGATTTCCATGAACACGGCCTAGAATATTAGAGAGGATCAATTTTTCAAGGCACTTGAAAGCAATGGATGTAAGAGCGACTGGTCTTAAGTCATTTAATTCATATATTTTAGGCTTTTTTGGTATTGGTATTACCTCCGATGTTTTCCATATTGTAGGAATGTAGTTTTTGTGTAGGGTCAGGTTAAAAATGAAGGTAAATATCGGGGCCAGTTGCTCACAACAAGTTCTTAACACTCTCCCTTTTACTCCGTCTGGACCACAGGCTTTGTTTATGTTTACACTTTGAAATTTCTTTTTAACACTCCGCTCACTGAGCTCAACACACTCCTCCCCGCTCAACTCGTCTCTCAGGCTCTGTTTAAGATCACGCTGCTCATTCTCAAAATCAAAACAGTCGAAACGACAATAAAAGTTGTTTAGCTCATTTACATAGTCTCTTTCATTTTTTACTTGCACACTCTCTCTCGCTGCAGTATAACCCGTTATTTTTTTCAAAGATGACCACATATTTCTCATATTATTTGTCTGAAATTCGCTCTCAATTCTAGTTTTGTACGCTTGTTTACAATGAGCAATCTTTCTTTTAATTTTTTTAGATATCAAGTACATTTCATTCATGTTATTACTTCTAAAGGCTTTCCATTTTTCTTTTATAAGATCTTTCAGTTCTTTCGTTACCCATGGCTTATTATTTGGCTAGTACGTAAGGGTTTTATAAATAGTAACAGTTTCTTCACAAAACTTAATGTAAGCACAAATGGTTTCGGTAAGTTCGTCAAGGTCCTTGCAGGTGTCTTTGAACATGTCCCAGTCTGTAGAGTCGAAGCATCCCCGTAGCTGCTCGGTCGTGTCGTCTGTCCATGATGGTATCGTCCTGGTCGTTGGTTTCTTTGTCTTGAGCAGGGGGCGGTACTTTGGGATCAGAAGGATGTTGTTGTGATCTGAGTCTCCCAGCGGTGGAAGGGGGAGAGACTTGTAGCCGTCCTTGACGTTGCCATAACACAGGTCGATGGTCTTTTGTAACCTTGTGGCGCACTATATATATATAGTTTAACCTGCCTCTTATAATAAGTGAGCAATTGTCGATTATAGATTGTGAGCTGTAATGTCTTGTGCACTGTGGGATTTTTCTTCCCACGTGGGGTGCATATATGGTTAGCAGTCAAGGGGTTAAAGAGAGAATGAATCAGGCTCATATTAGGTCCACTCATATGTACTGTACCTATACCAGTGAAGTGTGTGTTTAGTGTGCAGAAAGGGTAAGGAGACATACTGTAAGACATGCACTTTGACCCACAGGGCTAAAGAGAAGAGAACATAAGAAAAGGGAAGGGAAGGGAAGAGAAGAATAGAATAGGGGAGGGGAGGGGAGGGGAAGGAAGAGAAGAGAACGGAAGGGAAGGAAAGAGAAGAGAAGAATAGAATAGAGAAAAGAGGAGGGGAGGGGAGAGGAGGAGGGGGGAGGGAAGGGAAGGGAAGAGAAAAGAACGGAAGGGAAGGGAAGAGAAGAGAAGAATAGAATAGAGAAACGGAGGGAAGGGAAGGGAAGAATAGGATAGAGAAGAGGAGAGGAGGGGAGGGGAGGGGAGGGACAGGAAGGGAAGGGAAGAGAAGAGAAGAGAAGAATAAAATAGAGAAGAGGAGAGGTGAGGAGAAGAATAGAATAGAGAAGAGGGGAAGTGAGGGGAGAGAAGGGAAGGGAAAGGCAGAGAAGAGGAGAGGAGAGGAGAGAAAAGTAGAGAAGAGATGTGAAAAGAAGAGACAGTGAAATGGATTTTCTTTTTGTAATTTGTAGATCTATTGAGCTGGAGAGAGAAAAAACAGGCAGGAACAAGAGCTCCGAACTGCTAGGTGAGCATACACAGGAGATATCTAATGGAAAAATTAGTTTATCACGAGCGGATGAGGGACTAGCTGTGATGAAAAAAAAAAAGAATGGAAAAAAAGCAGAATATCAAACAAATAATAAACCAACACAAACCCTCCTTACTGGGGTCACCATTGCCCACAACCACCGGCTCTGAGTAGATCCCCTGGTTGTTCACGTAGATGACCGATGACGCCCCTTTGCTCTTGTAGCTAGGGGGCGCCATGATCACCGAGCCAGCGTAGTAGGTGTCGCGGTCATCCTCAAGGTAGATCCCCTCCACGCCCATGTTCACCAACTGCCTCACCTTTGGCGGGGAAAACAAAAGTGCGTCTCGAAATCAACTCAATAACAGTATTTTGTTTGAAGTCAAGTATGCATACAGAAAAATCGGTGGGACACGGAAAAATCTTTCAACTTGTCTTAAATACAAAAAATGTAGTAATAGTATGAGAAAACATTTCGGGACCAGAAAATCTGTTCTCTATGTGTGTTTTTCGTTATGTCCATATTTGCTATGCTCATGCTAGACTGTCCATCTCATTTCCGACTTTAAACCCTTAAAGCTTTGGTCGCCTAAGCCTACAGAACTCATCTCATCTTATTTTGTCCTATCCCATCTTATCTTCAATATCTTACATTAACTCATCTTATTTTAAATATCTGTCATCATGTCATCTTATTTTGTCCCATCCCATCTTATCATAAATATCTTACATCATCTCTACTTATATCACAGTCTACCTTTGGCAGGAACATTGCAAAGAGAATGAGCGTGGCTGTCAAAAAGAGTCCAAAAGCGATGCAAGCGTCACCATACTCCTGAGCGTAATCCTGGTCCTTGTTCAAACCTCCAACCAAGCCCCAAGCCAGCCAGATGGGGATACTGTAGAGAAACGATAATAGTGTGATGTAATTCTCATGGCTGTTAACTTTTAAAAAGATGGGGATACTGTAGAGAAACGATAATAGTGTGATGTAATTCTCATGGCTGTTAACTTTTAAAAAGATGGGGATACTGTAGAGAAACGATAATAGTGTGATGAAATTCTCATAGCTGCTAACTTTTTAAAACCTTTGTGGTGGGCACAGGCCAAGAGCCTGAGCCCCCCTATTCAAAGCAGACAATATTGTAAGAAATGTTAAAATGGGTAAGACTCCCATGGACATATATATGGCTTCGCTTTTATTATTTTTCATGAATTCAGTCTTCAAAGTTCATATTTTTTCTTCACCGTTGGCAAGTCTATGATGAGTTACAATAGAAAACAGAGAATACAAATTTTTCATGGGTGGTTGGCGGGTGCTCTGGTGTGGTTTGCTCCTTCTTTACTATCAAACAACCATCATCTTTATCTCTCCTTCTTCTTTTTTATGTTTGTTACTCTCTTGTAACACCTCTAATCTTCGGCACTTATGTGACCTTATTGTGTTGCAAGTGCCGTAAAAACTCTTTTTAAAAAATAATTTAAAAAATAAAAATTTACAAATACGGACTCAACCATGTAAGTTGCTCAACATGAGATGGATTTTAATTTTTTTAAGGATACTTCAACGGAAAGTATCAATCCTCACGATTTCTTCTTTGATGTGAATCCGATACATAAAAGGAAAGAGGTGACTTTTATGTACACTTTCTTTTTCCCATATTATATATATATATATATATATATATATATATATATATAATATACTTGTCATGAGCGTCTAAATATGCAAGAAAGTCACAGCCAAGGGATGATGACCTTTCTGATCACGTAGGCCTATTTGAATGTTCATGAACGCGAAAATAATATACAGTCCAAACCAACGTGCAATTATAGAGTTGAAATGAAATGGGAAGAAATAGATTGATACCATTGTCACAAATTGGTTTGGTGATGGATGATTTTAGATTCTAGAATATAACAGAAACAATGTCTTGCTATCATAAAAAAAGATTTTGTCACAATGAATAACAGCAAAAAGGGAAAGTAATTTAAGAATCCCTCCTCTCCCTCCACTCACCCACACAATCCGTTCCCCTTCCCCCTCCTTTTCCAGTACAGTTGAAAGAATCTCCTCTCAGCACTTAATGAACTAAAGCACTTTGGCAAAAAGCTGACCTGAATCCTGCGGCAATCCCAATAAAGACGCTCTCCCGGTGGTTGGTGATGATGCCGTGAGCATTCAGGGACAGGATGGTGGTGATGAGGATCATGAGCATGATGTAAATCAGTGACATGAGGTGATTCTCGAAGTTGGTGCGGACAAAATCAGCCATAGAGTCCATGCCCTTGTCGGCTTCCCATGTGTAGTGGTTGCAGACCCAGACACGAGAGCCGTCGTTGGCGGTCACTTGCACAGCCTCGGGGGGTACGGTGATCAGCCATTGGACGTCTATCACGATCTGAGGACGACACAGGGAGGAAGTGAGGACAGGTCAGAGATCATTTCAAGACAAGTTGGAGCTGTGACCTCTATACTTTGGAAGCAGATACAAACAACAGAAATGCTGAAAAAGATATAGACAAACGGAACAGATTTCACCAGTGTGAGTGTTTGCAAAGTGAAAAGGACATAGACTCAATGAGAGAAATTTAAAGCAGAGAAGAAGGAAGATAAACAGATAGAACACAATAAAGGGAGAGAAAGGAAGCAGGAACCACAAGTGGTGCCCTCCAACCACCCGCAAATCTCACCAAAGCACCTTCCAAACACTCCAGTCACAAAGAGGAGCTTTGGTTGTCAATCTGTAAGAACACATTGGAGCACAGTGCTGTAAAGTAGTTCAGTAGAAACAAGAGTACAATTCCTATTAAAAGAACATTTTTCACTGAGTTAAGCTTTAGTCTTAATGTGAGTTTTTGCTTGTTTTAGCGCTCACAACTGCATAAGGTCATATGAGCACCAAGGGGTGGATGTCAACAGAGAAGTCCTTACAGGGAATCAGGCTTACTCTGCTCACCTCTCTAGCTTCAACAGCATAAAGTCTGCTTCAACTATTAAGGCACCCCGGAAATAGTGGGTTACAAGAGAGTGACAAACATACAAAATAAGTAGAGGAAAATTGACGATATTACGGATAAGGAAAGAAAAAGCAACAGTTCCCTGTTGCAATTCCGGCACAGTTATGAGCATGACATCGATGAATCAGCCCATTTACTATTTTACTGTGCAACAGAACATGGTAATGTCCCCCCTTTGAGAAAAGCATAAAGACATTTCAGTCAGTAGCACCACCCTGGGGGGTTAGTAAGAGTTTTATAACATTTGCAACACAATTAGATCATGTAAGTGCTGAAGATTAGAGGTGTAAAGAAGAGAGTAACAAACACAAAAAAGCAGGAAGAGAGATAGAGAATATAGATACAATTTGACAGGAAATAAAGAGCAAACCACACCAGAACACCCGCTGATTGAGTTTCTCTGTCTTTCTAAACAAACATGTTTCAAGTCCGGATACGGCCCTCGCAGGACATAACAAACCAGCCCACCTCTTAAAATAACCTGCACTGAGCCAACAGAACAGCGATGGAGTAAAACATTTGAAAACTACAACAGAAAAACAATTATATTCACAAACTCAAAGAACTGAATTAATTGCCTTTAACATGTGCAATTTTTCCATAGTTGACTCTCATAACTGTCATATATAGAACGATAAGCTCAGTACTGGGTAAGGGACCTTCAACAGAAGGGAACAAACAATGATATTCACTTCCGAACACAGCTAATATCTCTAAACTATCACCAAAACAGGATCAACCCAGACAAACCACCAATATGCTTACTTCGTGACCATGTCTTGCTTGTTTTAGTAAGCGTTTTACAGCACTTGCAACACAATTAAGTAAAAAAAGTGTCAAAGATTAGAGGCATTACAAGTGAGTAACAAACACAAAAAGGAGGACAGATAAGGACGACAGATATTTAATAGGAAAGAAGGAGCAAACCACACCAGAGCACCTGCCAACCACCCACTTACCATCTACGAAACAGTCCCAACACCTGCTCGTCAAATCTCCCAAGCTACAGAATCTCTTTTATTTTTTCGGTAAGTGTTTTACGGTGTTCAAAACTGCATAAGGTCAGATGGCCGTGCAGGACACATTAAACATTTCCAGTGGGTTGGAAATTTTTAATTTTGCCCAGGAGGCGGCCAAAGTCTATTGTTATCGATTTTGGACCACCAAGGGATCTTTAACGTGCGCAACTTGCACACAAGATCTCAGAGATTTTTTGCCTTTATCTGAGAAGGCTAGGTGTAGATCTTACCTACTATAAGATCAGGGGTGCGGCTGAAAGACAGCAATAAAAATGAGAAAAGGAGTAGCAATAGAAAAGCTGCAGAAAGAGTCAGGAGCCCAGAAGAGCGGGTAAAGGAGGTGAGGGGGTGGGGGCAGAAAGTGGAGACAAAAGCAGACGACAGAACATTGTTAGAGAGCAGGAAAGGAGGAGAAAGGAGACAATTTTAGAGAAGAAAATTTTAGGTCGCTATCCGGATTTGAACCTGGGACTTATTGAATGAGAGGCAAACAGCATTAACCTCTCGACCACACAGGACCTCGGACAGCAACTTCTTCCTCCTAGTCCTGCCATAGACAATGCCCTACACTGCAGCACAGCAAAAAAAAAGTTTCTGAAGACCTCCAACTTTTTTAACATGGCATTGGGCCAAAGTACAAAATTTCAAAGTGGGTGGTTGGCAGGTGTTCTGGTGTGGTTTGCTCCTCCTTTCCTATGAAACATCTATCATTCACATCTCTCTTCTCCTTTTTTTGTTTTTATTACTGTCTTGCAACACTTTTAAACTTCAGTATTTATACGACCTAATCGTGTTGCAAGTGCTGTAAAACATTTATTTAAAAATTAATCTCAAAGTCTACTGGATTAACAACAACAAATCAGAAAAGGGATTTTTTTAAAAAGACAATGGAAAACATTTGATTTCAGTTGTGCTTACCTGCACACCGACAGCAAAGACGAACATAAGGAATTGGTAAATTCCCTTCAGGTAGTTGGGTGATTCATCTCCAGGAAGCAGGACGTCGGACGACTTAGAAGTCAAGATGACCATTAACTTTACCAGCAAAACAGCGAAGCAGATAGCATAGGACACTCCAACACCAAATCGGGTGATACCGCATGTTGCCTGAAATTTTTAAAAATAATAACAAACACTTATTCTTTTTGTTCTTGTAATCGCAAAATGCCCCACAAGATATACATAAAGCATGCTGAAAAAGCTAGCCAACTTTCATCCTCTGGAGAAATGCAAATCAATAGATGCAAGGTTGGTAGTGAGTGCGTGTGTGTATGTGTGTGTGCGTGGGTGTGTGTGTGTGTGTGTGTGTGTGTTAATGTGTGTGAAGGAAGGAAGGAAGGAAGGAAGGAAGGAAGGAAGGAAGGAAGGAAGGAAGGAAGGAAGGAAGGAAGGAAGGAAGGAAGGAAGGAAGGAAGGAAGGAAGGAAGGAAGGAAGGAACGAACAAAGGACATCAGTGACAACATGCTACAATAAATACTGCGTACATCTTTGCAATGAAGTCAGTAATGAGTATTTTAGCTGAATCTGAATAAAGAGAGGCACATCGACTTAATAACAGTAAATAAGTGCTGGGAAAGGGCATGACAGATAAACAGAAAGAAAAGGGGAAAAGTATTAAAGCAGGACCTACCAGAAGCCCCCTCCAACTACCTGGACATGAATGTGGATTGAGGAAACGACTGCCAAAAAGCATCACAGAGCAATATCAGATCAGTAACCAAATAACACACATCCCAAACCAGACTAACTTATGTCAACAATGTATGTGTCACGACGCGATGGAATCAGGCGCTTGTCAATTTTTGAGCATGTAGAGTTATTGGTATCGTCTTAAAACTTGTTCATTTGTCTTGTTTTAGATGATAAAAATCCTCTTCTATCTTGAATTAAAGTCAAGATATAAATTTGGTAACTTCCAAACATTGAGAGTCTTTAGTAACAGCAAATTTACATTTTTTTGGGTGCCTTTAACCAAAGTTTTTTCAATAACGTTCTCACAGAAATGTGTCTATAAATGGACGTACAAGGACATGAGCCTAAAAACAGAAAAATCCATTAAAATTTCCAAACTAACAGAAAAATGCCTGTTTCTATGATTTCATTATTGCGACAAACGCCTGATTTCACCACGGTGCCTCACATATACAGTATTTACCTTTGTGGGGACGAAAATGTACGCAAAGAGGACCAAATAAGCCAAGAAGATTCCAAAGAGGAGCAGCTGCCCCAGCCACATGGTGCGCCACTTGTGCCCCATGCGAGTCCCAAGCAGCTTGTACAAGATGTAGATCTCGAAGATGATCACAGCGAGGATACCCACGCCAGCCAAGACGCCAAGAGCGATGACCCAACGGTGGCCTTGGTCGAAGCGGGTGCCGTATTCTTCCCGGTAGCTTTCGTGGTCGGCGGCCGGGTAGGCGCCGGTGATGGCTTGACCCAGGCGGTACTGCACAGTGCTGAAAGGCAATGGAGGGATAGCTTGATGGGGATTTGCAGACCCTCAAGACAGACACCCATGAATCTTCATCTCCTCCTCCATTTACATCTTTTCTTTTTCTTTCCCTCCTCCCTGACCTGCTCCTCCCCCTCTTCAATTTCCTTCTTCTTATCAGTTATTATTTGCACTTTTAATAATAATCTTATTTTAATATTATTATGATCACAATAATTATTATTTTCACAACTATCATTATAGATGCCTAAACAGTCCCCTATGATAAATAATAATAACAATAATGATGATGATGTTGTTTAAAATAATAATTGAATTTGTACAGCACGTATATGCTCTAGAGCATGCTCTGCTCTCTGCACTTTATAATTACAATACATATAACTTGATAAAATACATGACTGCAATATGACTATGAGCGATTCATAAACGATGAGCAGAGCAAGGCCATCTTTATCCAAAATCTGTCGCAAAGAACATGAAAAAGAGAATTTATATTAAATGATGCTTTGCAAATAAAGAAATGACCCAAATAGATACTTCAAAATAGGAAATCAGCTGGAGTCCAATATTTTTTAAAATAATGCCAATGGTTTTCAAACATGCATTGTCTTTTGTCTTTATTTTTTTGCGCATAATTAAGTGGGTGTCTTCATCAAAGCTTGGTTGTGAAAGCCAAACCAATAAGACACTTGAATCAACAACAAAAAAAAGGTGTCAGTACCTAACACTAAAGGGGCTAGCTTATTAAATAGACATGAGGGGTGCTGACAAAACTATTTGTTTCTAGCAAATCAGCCGAAAAAGGACACTGCGGTCAAATTTATAGATTTTTTTAATTTATGCCATTTTCTTCAAGTTTAACATGTCTTATATTATTACATACTGAAAAATTGTACAAACTTCACCCATAAATTTGTTGTATATCTATAAATTCCATAGGGCTGGAATCCAAGAAGTAACTCATTTTGTCAGCATGTCTCATATTTCTCCTTTTCTCATTATAATTTTAGAGGGCTACTATACTGCAGAGGCCTTCACATCATTACCTGTACTTAGGAGGCTCCTCACTGGTGGGTTCTGAGGTGGCACCAACGGTGGGTGGAGACGTCGGGGGTGCCATGGTGGTTGGAGGCTCACAACATTCCCCAGCATTGGGGCACTCAGAGGGGTTAAAACCTGATCCAAAATCGTTTTCCAGGTCAACTGTGATGACTGTATTGCCATTAGAAAAAGATCCAATCTGTTGAGAGAAATAAGGCTCTTATCAAAACAGAGAAACAAGTTCTTACCAGAAATAAAAGAAATGTTCCGGTTCAGAGAAAAAAAGGTCTCTACTGATATGAAAGGAAGAAAGACTTACGAGTAGTGCAAACAAGTAAAAAAAAAAAATTCTGAACGAAAAGCATTCATACAAAAAGAACACAATACTGTAAAGAAAAAAAACTGTACAGAAAAAAAAGTACTGATACAAAGGAGAACAAAAAAGACGCAAAATATTACGGCTCAATAAGAAAACAACAACTTGGCTTACTTTTTCAAATGCAGGAGACCTGCCCTGACGATTCGCGAAGATGTAGTATTCATACTGTGCTTGGTTCGGCCGCAGTTCCCCGGAGGCACTTTCAAATATTGGGAGAGCAGACTTGATGGATCTGTAGAGGTCGTTCTGCTTATACTTCTCATTGCGTAACTTGTCGCAGAATTGGTAGTTGCTAAAGTTCTGCTGATTGCAGTCCTGCATAGCCTTATCCATACCCTGGAAGGAAAAAAATCACTGAAGAATCAGAAGAAGGTCGGGAAGGGAGGGAATAATGACTTACTATTTTCAGAGGTTCTAAACATGTTCCTCTGTGGTGATAAACTAGATCTCTTATCCATTATCTTATTACATTTTTGTCATAGTGGAAATCCTGCAGCAATAATTATAATAAGGTGAAAGGAACGACACAGTATGATATGATATGAAACAGGTTTAACATCCCTTTTAACACAGCAAGTTATCAAAGAGATAGAAGTCTAACCATTACAACACAGACCAAGGCGCAGTAGAGTAGAGAACCAGCTGTTAGCAGCAATTTTCCACGTGCAATTTGTCGCTATTAGAGTTGCTTCTATTGCCCCAAGCTTCAGTGAGTCTCTAAATCCTTCCACAAGATGGGGGAATATTCATAAAGCCATGGTGGAATATTAGTGAGAACATGGAGGAATGTTTATGAGAACATGAAGGAATGTTTATGAGAACGAGGTGGAATATTTATGAGAACATGGTGGAATATTTATAATATGAGAACATAGTGAAATATTTATATGAAAACACTGTGGAATGTTCATGAGAACATGAAGGAATGTTTATGAGAGCAACACCGAATATGAGAACAGGAAGGAATGTTTATGAGAACATGAAGGAATGTTTACGAGAACATGAAGGAATGTTTACGAGAACATGAAGGAATGTTTACGAGAACATGAAGGAATGTTTATGAGAACACGAAGGAATGTTTATGAGAACATGAAGGAAAGTTTATTCTCTTTTTAGCAGAGGTTTTACGGCGCTCGCAACTGTATACGGTCACATTAGCCCCAAGGGGTGGATGTCAACAGAGAAGTCCTTATAGGGAATCAGACTTACTCTGCTCACATCTCTAGCTTCAACAGCACAAAGTCTGCTTCGACTATCAAGGCATCCCGGAAAAAGTGGGTCACAAAAGTGTGACAAACATACAAAAGAAGTAGAGGAAAAATGACGATAGTAAGGATTAAGAAAGAAAAAGCAGCAGTGATCCCTGTTGCAGTTCAAGCACAGTTATGAGCATGACATCGATGAATCAGCCCATTTACAATTTACGATTCTACTGTGTATAAGAACAGGTTAATGTCCCCCCTTTGGGAATGGCATAAAGAGACTTTAGTCAGTAGCACCGCCCGGGGGGGGGGGGGGGGGGGGGGATTGGAATGTTTATAATACATGGAGGAATATTCAAGAGAACAAAGTGGAATATTCATGACAATATAGTGGAATGTTTATGAGAACATAGTGGAATATTTATGAGAACATAGTGGAATATTTATGACAATGTAGTGGACTGTTTATGAGAACATAGTGGAATGTTTATGACAATGTAGTGGAATGTTTATGAGAACATGGAGGAATGTTTATGAGTACAGTGGAATACTTATGGGAAGAAAAAGACAGGAGTCGTTATGCTGCTCTGGCCTTTGCTCTAAAGCCTGTGATAATGGACATAAAATAGAAATAAACAAAATTTTTTGCACAGAATTTAAATCGAATATGGTAATGTGCCCTGTTTCCTTTGAAAATAAATATTGTAATCTCTGTCCACTGTTTAAAGTAAAAAACAAAACAACAAAATGATTTCAAGGGTCACTGGTTTCATGACACCACATGTAGGGATCAGACTACTAACCTTCATCACCAACTCCACAGACATGATAGTTCGAAGTGCAGACATCACTATAGGAGACGGCGTATTGTCATCAATTTTAGGTATTCTGTTGACAAAATCAGAAATTTAAGTACGAGTTTTACAGCACTTGCAACACACAATAACGTCATGAAACTGCCGAAGATTGGAGGTGTAACAAGAGAGTAAAAAGTTGTTCCCGCATCCGATCCGGACACTGGGGATTGCCTTGTTAGTGAGACAAATTCCTGGGCCTTCGAGTTTACTTCCCTAACAAGAGAGTAACAAACACAAAAAAAGGAGGAGGAGAGATAAGGACGATAGATGTTTGACAGGAAAGAAGAAGGAAACCACACCAAAGCACCCGAAAACCACCCAAATCAGAGAGCATAGGTGACTTATTTAGAGCGGGTCTACGCAACAGCAGCTCCATTTTGAAAGGAAGCAGATGAGAAAAATGAAAACATACCAATAAAAAAAAAAGTAGAAAAAACAGATCACACAAGAACATCCACCACCACCTTGCACAAAATTACTGTGTACGTTAAATCCAATAACCTCAATAGAGGCATGTGTGTGTGTGTGTGTGTGTGTGTGTGTGTGTGTGTGTGTGTGTGTGTGTGTGTGTATGTGTGTGTGTGTGTATGTGTATGTGAGCCTGTAAAAACGCCCAAATATCGAGGATGCAAACTGAGATGCCAGTGTTTCTGGCAGAACAAGCAATTCTGATGCTGTTTCAAAAGTTTTTGAGTCATGAGATTGTTTTAGTAAAGGTTTTTCGGCGCTCGCAACTGCATATGGCGATATGAGCGCCAGAAGATTAGAAGTGTTACAAGGGAGTAACAAACATAAAAAAGAAGGAGGGGAGATAAAGACAATAGATGATGTTTGATAGGAAAGAAGGATCAAACCACACCAGAGCACCCGCCAACCACCCACATGAGATATTTTGTGACACAAGATAAAGGGGTGTACAAAGTGGAGAAAACAAACAGTCATGACTCCAATTTTGAGACTTCAAATTGTTGTATATTGTACACTTCACATCCTAACTAATTACAGTCAAACCTGCTCTAACAACCTTCTAGGACGATCGTTTCTACAATAAACGACGATTCCTTCCAGCGCCCCCCCCCCCCTACCCCTCCCAACAAAAAAACACTTTGCATTTTTTTCTCTATAACAATGACACTGTCCAGGAAGGACCACTTTTCTAAGATGACCACTTTTCTTCTCGCCGAGGGATAATCTTTCTAAGACAAGTTCAACTGTATATTTAACATGTTAATGAGTCAAAATGTGTTTTACCCTTCCCACGTACGATGTGCAAATGGATAAACATTCAATCTTAGCACAAATTCTATTTTGTAAGCATCAGAATAGAAAATGATGCAGGCACCCACAAACGCAAGGACTCACTCACTCACACACACACACACACACACACACACACACACACACACACACACACACACACACACACACACACAAAAAACACAAACACAAACACAAACACACACACACACACAAACAAACACACACACACACACAAACACACACACACACACACACACACACAAAAAACACAAACACAAACACACACACAAACACAAACACAAACACACACACACACACAAACAAACACAAACACACACACAAACACAAACACAAACACACACACACACACAAACACACGCACACGCACAAAAAAGGCAAAGGAGCAAAAAATAACAGGGAGAAAAAAATTGTGATATTGAAACAACAACAAAAAAGGCATGAAACAGAAACATACTCTCCCACAGTCTCTTCGTAATGAGTTATCCATTGGTTGTCTACATCACTGAGGGAGTCTACAGCTCCGTTGTTGATGTAAGTTTTAAATTCTGACATGACTGGGTCATACGTTGCGGGCTGGACAGAGTCGATCACGATGGCATTAGCGGCTGCTGAGCTCTTTGAGGTGAGGAATATTCTGAAAAACAAAAGTATTCACAAAATCAGTGCAAAAAGTTCACCATACGAGACTCAACAGTTTTATTTGTTTTTGTAAGTTTTACCATCATCATTATTATATAATACTTATTAGTGGTATTACTATTATCATCATTATTACTATTATCATAATCATTATTTTTCCTGTTACTATTATTATTATCATTATTATTATTACTATTTTTTATTACCACTATTATCATAATCACCATTATCACTTTTCTTATTATTATCGTTTGTGTTATTACTATGGAACATGATAAGTCTTATTTCATTATAGGCTGAAAAAAATACATGGTGTTTCTCATAGTCTAATAAAAGCATAGAAAGACTTAAACTAGGGGATCAAATTTAATTTTATAGTTGTGATTGGCATGTCCACAAAGATATTCTATTTGTGTATCACATCATTTTCGAATGTCACCGACATCCGACATCAGTATTGAAATAGCTACGCTCTTTGCCACTGCAACCACAAGTAAGATAAATTCCCACAAGGGAAAGCCTATTTCATACAGTATCTTTCTTTTTTTTTTCTGCTAAGATATTATATCCTACTCAGTCTGAGTAAGCCTTGACAGGCAGAGTCAAGGTAGCCCGCCTCCTATAACAACAAAATTCAGGCCACATGCAGGCAGCGTAAAAACATTTACAATCAACTATCGCGAGCTGCCCCGCCAAGAACAAGTGACCATCTACTATCAACACAATATATTAGACTCAAAATCAACACCTACATATTATGCTGTAAAGCGCACAGAGTATGCTGTAGAGCATGGATATGCGCTATAAAAATGACTGATACAATCGCCAAACCAGTGTGGAGAAGCAGACCAAACTGTGGAACACATCCTCCTGCGGACACAAATAAAATATGTCCAACCCCATACACACTACATGAGAAACTGTACACGCCAGCAAAGGGCCTAAGCAGGATGACCCTGTATATGACAGAGATACAGACTTTCAAGCGTGGTCCAATCAAAAAAAAGAAGAAGAACCACTCATATCTCTGTTGCTTCCAATATCTGAGGTAAAGATGAACCCAAGTTCCCCATTTCACACAGCCAGCACTAAGTCAGCTAAAGTTGTGCCTCAGGGGGACGTAGAACATCTACAACCAACTACTCACATGTTTCTTCCAATTTCTGAGGTCAAGATGAACCGGAGTTCGCCATTCACTGCGTCATTGTTTCCATTGGCGATGGTACCCAGCAATATGTCCAGCTTAGCTCTGGACATCAGAGGAACAACGTACTTTGCCTTTAAGCGAGGCTTCAACTGCGTGTCCACAAAGGTATCCATCTGAAGACATTGATCAGAAATTACTTTCAAAATATTATTATTTAGTCGGACGTCTATATTCAGATGTACTAAGACCAACATTTTGACCAGTTTTTGCAGTTTCTTCAGTATCAGTTGCATGTGTCAAGCAATATTTTGTCAAAATTCAAATTCTCAATGTTGAGAATGGCAAGAAAAATACATAAACTACATACAATTGTAGAAAGAATGAAATAGTAATTTTTCCTCTCTCTTGAAAAATGTTGCTATCTGGGCCTAAGACATTTGGACAGCTTGCTGACAATTTGAAATACATGCGTAAGTTCAAAGGTCCTATCTAAAACAACAGTAGCTGCTGTCAGTCTATCGGGGATACATCTAGAAAGAATCTAAAAATCAACAACTTATGGTATTTAAGATTTAAACAACTTCAAAGCTCTGCCAGTGAGTTACTTGGAAGCATTTTATTCAAAAACATTTGTGAGGTATCAGAGAAACAGGCACTTTTCAGCCAGTTTGGCAATTTTCATCAAATTTTTTTTTCCGGCTCAGCACCTTGTATGTCCCTATAAAATCCTTTTTCGATGTGAACTTTACTGAAAAGCATTGATTAAAGGCAGAAAATAAGTCATTTTTCAGTTTTTAAAGGACTCTCAAACCACAGAAGCTACCAAACTTTGGCAGCAACTTTCTCCTTAATTTTACCTCTGAAATCATCAGTACAACAATGGGCGCGTTTCATAAGGATACAGCTTTTCATGACAACTGCAACACGGAAAAAAAGAGGAAAAAAACAGACCACACCTTACACGGTGGTGTCGATAGCCTAGTGGTCAGGCTCTCGGACTTGTAACTGAATGGTTTTTGCATCTCATTGACAGGATCAATAACAACTGGATCAATATATGCACATCATAGCAAAAGGAACTTACATCAGTGACATCATCTATGCTCTGGCTAAACTGCACACATATGTTGGATCCTTCCAGCTTCTCTTTCAACTTCATGTATGCCGAGGCCCAGAACGGATCATCAGCCAAGTATAAAATCATCGCAAACTTCGAATTCATGTGGCGCAAGAATCCAACGACAGCCTCGATGTCATACATGAATGAGGGTCTCAGCCGAAGAAGCGTTTTCTCATCATCAAAGGAGAGATCTGGAAAGCAAAACACAAGGTTAACAGATCTTGAGTTCAAGTTTCAATTTTTTTTTAAAGATAAATAACAGCAACATGACAAAGATCATTCAGCGGTGGAAATGAGAAAGACAAAAGCAAACTATTGTTTATAACAGTATAGAAGTAGGGCCGACCAGCACCACTCTCCAAGCAAAAGCAAACAATAATTCTGCACAGGAAATCGCCATCTTAAAGTTGAGGACTCAGAAGAACGGATTCATTTTTTTCAGGAAAAAACGAACTCCTTGTCTCTGGCAAGCCATGTACAGTGGTTTGCGGTATGAACTGCTGTGCCAGTGAGCCGCTAGCAGCTGCTTGGTCACATTCCTTTAAAAAGATGACAACGTTACTATTATTTCCAGTAATATGCGAAAACAGGTCTCTCTTAACCAATTTTTTTTTTCATTTGATGAAGAACTATCAAAATTCGTTTGATTTAATGACCAGTTTAGTGATGTGTATGTTACTTTCAGGTTTTGTACCAAAAAAGAAAGCTCTGGCATAGTGGGAAAATCCTCGAGAAACAAAGAGTTAAGACATCTGTAACACTCAAAATACCTGTGGACATGCACTATATAAGCGCATTTATTATTATTATATATATGTAAGAGCACAGATATGCGCTATATAAATGCAATTATTATTATTTTATATGCAATTTTTATTATTATTATTATTATCATTATTAGATCCCACTCGGCCAAGGTTAGCCAGGTAGACAGGATTGAAGCAGCCTACCCCAAAAATTATCAAAATGTTGCCAGTAGAGGTGTAAAACATTTATATTGATATAGAAAAAGAATATCAAAGCAGCAACAAACCACCTACTTATATCAGCAGAGAAGAAACTTTACCAAAGAGTGGTCACAAATGTTATATATTCGTACCCAGCGAGTTTGCCGTTGGGCTGAGAAGAGTAATTCCGAGATCAGAAGCAAGCATCCCTGTCCTGATAGTGTCATCGTTGTCGTAAGGCCCGACATATGCAACAAGGTTCTCCTGTTGCATTTCCTGAACTCGAATATTACACTGTGCGAAGCTGAGAACATTCCCAATGGTCTGTGAAAGAAGAACAGGATAAAGTCACCTCATGGTCAAAGGTAAGAATCATAGACATAGATCTAGGCACTCGGTCTTCATCGTCTCACCTACATAATAATTTGTGTATTTTACACTTACAAAGAATCAGCAACAAACAGCAGTCCTAAGCCTGAGCATTTGATCCAAGTACACACTAAGAACAGCTTGCTAGACTGTGAACTGTATTCCCTAATTACTACTGCAGAGCAAAAACAACTCAACACTTTCCCATACCAGGAAAAATACAAGTGAAAAAGAACCAAAAAACCGCCAGCTGTTCAGACATAGGCCCCTTGAAAAGGAGTTTTAAGGAAAGAAGGGGCAGCACTGTATATTATAGTTGTATCATCACGCAGTGGAATCAGACGCTCGTCGCCGTAAAACCCTCTACTATAAAAAAAAAAGACGCTCGTCTTGTGTATATGAACTTATTAGTATTATCTTACAGTCTTTTAATTTGCTGTCATTTTGATGGAAAAAAAAACATCCACAAAGGGTCATTATCTTGAGTAGACATTGAGATATTTGTGTTTGAAGGAGGTGGGGGTCTTCTTGTGTCAGAGGTAAAATCAGCAAGCAATGGCCACCAAAATTTCATGAATTCCAAAGCTTTAGTGTCCCTGAAAACTACAAAGTTACAATTTTTGTGCCCTTGCTTTAAGGTTTTCAGTAAAATTCACACAGACATGTCTTTTCAAAGGGACATAAAAGGCACTATTTTCAAGCCTAAAAAAAAAACTTAATAAAAATTGACCGAAGAATAGAAAATTGTGGATTTCTTCGATTTCACTATTTTGACAAGCACCCGATTTCACCAAAATGCATCACAATATTTTAAGAAAGAAGAGCACCTGTCTCAAAGAGATGTTCAGGAGAATGACAAAAACATATTACCTTCAAAGTCTTGTAAAATAAATACAGTCGGGTCTGCCATGATGGCAATCAGTATAATATGGCCACTTTCCATTTCCCCCCTTGCTTCTTTTTATATAATTTAACTGTGTAAAACGGTCACCTGGGCAAGGCGGCCGCAGCTACCTTATTTTAATAACTTCAGCCAACTTTACCTGCCTAAGGCAGCCAGGCGTGGTCTCCACTCGCCTGACGCTTTGTCATTAATTCTTAATCGGTCCCTGACACTGTGGACGGGCTGTCATAATCCATTCACCTGTCGTTATTGTTTGTCCTTCCAATGAATGTTTACCCAAGTTGACCAATGGGTAATAAAAAAATTTCAAGTGCTGTTGAGGGATCAAAGCGTGTGATCCGGCCTATAGGCCCCGCCCAGAACTCATGCACAAATCATATGATATGATATATGTGAGGTGACTGGTCACTGTTTTGTTTACCTAATCTATAGCAAAGTAACAATGGATATTAACGTAGACTTGCGAGAGAAGCCTCATTCATTCTCCGAGTGGTGGCAACCTGTGTGTTTGTTTTACCATGGAATTCGGTCTTCAGCGTCTTACTGACATAATATTTCATATATTTTTCACTTACGCAGAATCACCAACAAGCAAAAGCAAACCAAATAATAAATCAACAAAACAACAGCAACAAGAACTCTTCTTACATCCCTCCACCCTCCTTTTTCAAACGAAAACAAAAGTTAACCCTTTCAAAAATTAAAATTCGCCTCACAACAGTCCTAAGCCTGAGATCAGCCCAGGTTTGGACCTTAAAAGAGAATGGTTTGCTTTTTTCATTTTGATCAGTCCTGCCTAAGACGGCCACCTGTCTTATACAACCACTTTTCTCTTTGACCAATGGGTGGTCATTTTACACAGGTTCAACTGTATATGGTCGCTTTTAAGGACAATCAGGCTAACCCAGATTTGGGGGTTTCCAGAAATGTTGACCTACACCAAAAGTGGGTATTGCCCTACCTATAAGAGAAGTTCGGTTTCATTGGTGTGTATAATTCTTTGGTTATAAAGAAAACTCTCCTAGTCTTTAAAAAAAATTGAACAAGGGTCCAAAAACTTTACCTTCGATTTTCTCAAAACAGCATTTTTAGGGATAGCCCCCCTTAAGGTGCTTAAAAGCCACTAAATATTTGATAACTTGAAAGAGGCAGTGTTTTTTCAAATGAAAAACAAGCCGACAACTATACCAAACACACAGTATGCATTTCTGCAACACTGGTGCAAAATCTCCTAGAAGAGCACATTTTCATGAGAAGGTAATGGTAAGTGTTTTACCGCGCTCGCAACTGTATAAGGTCATATGAACGCGCAGGCCACATTAAACATTTTCAGTTGGTAGGACATTTTGAATTTTGTGTGGGTGGTGGCCAAAGCCTACACTTATCGACTTTAGACCAGAAAAGGATCTTTAACGTGCGCAACTTGCACTCGTGACCTCCGAGATTTTTCGCCCTTGTCCAAAAAGGTTAAGTTTGGATCTTTCCTACCAGAAGATCAGGGGTGTGGCTGAAAGACAGCAGTAAGAAGGAGCCAAGGAGTAGCAGTAGAAAGGCTGCAGAAAGAGTCAGAAGTCCAGAGGAGGGGGCAAAGGAGGTGAGGGGGTGGGCGCAGAAAGTGGAGACGAAACAAAACGACAGAACATTGCTGGAGAGCAGGAAAGGAGGTGAAAGGAGACAATTTTAGAGAAGAAATATTTTTCTAGTCGCGACCCGGAGTCGAATCCGGGACCTTTGATTGAGAGGCGAACACCTTAACCTCTAGGCCAAGAGAGCCCCCTTCCATGGGAAGTGACAGCAGAGTCTGGAAAGTCTTAAACATTGTTCGTGTTGGATCCCTGGCTCTCAGCAGAGCCGACAGAACCAGTGCTTGTTTGAGTTAGTTTTGTTTTAACAAGAGTTTTACAGCACTTGCAACACAATTAGGTCATGATATAAGTGCCCGAGATTAGAGATGTTACAAGAGAGTAACATACACAAAAAAGAAGGAGGAGAGATTTAGACAATAGACGTTTGATGGGAAATAAGGAGCAAACCATACTAGAGCAGTCGCCAACCACCCACTTGTTTGAGTTGGCATGAGCAAATTGAAGCACACCTACACAGTACGAAACGGTAATCTAGCACAAGGGACAAATTAGAAACGAAAAGACAAAAACCATCGAGGGAAAGGAAAGAAGTAAGACTTGCCAGTGCATGGTGCCCTCCAACCACCTGCCATGAATAGTAAATCTGAGCTTCCAAGGGAAACCGTTAGATTTAAACCAGCACACACTTAGGAGTGTGCTCTTTGTGTGGAAGGGTAAATATGTGAGGTATGCTGACAAAATGACTACTTCTCGCAATCCACAAATGGAGATATGGCCAAAAATCGACAATGGAGTCGAATTTGTAAATTTTCTATAGATGCCATATTCTTTAAGTCTTGTATAACACGCCTTTTATTTATTTCATAGTTATAAATTGTAAAAACTTCACTTTTTTTTCCATAGGGCTCAAATCCGATAAGTAACTCATTTTGTCAGCACTCTTCACATATAACAAATGCAGAAGTGTATGCTCAGGTCAGTAAGTTTAATGTCTCATCCTAAGATACCTACCTGCTCTGACCTTGAACAAGAGTCAAAAGCGACTGCTCCGACTGACACTGGGCTGTTGATAACCGCCTTGTACTTATCTATAGCCCAGAAGAAAGCCTGAAAAAAGAAACAATTTATTAAAACTTTGATAAACTTGTATCCCCTTACGATTATTATTAACCCGTTAACTTAACAATTGTCCTTACATCCACATCCCCACCCCATACATTATTCATCATTCTAGTTGTCAGTACCCCAGAAGGTACTCTCCCAATACGCAACTTAGTAGGAGTGGGTTTGATTCCTAAAATTGGTTTAGATTTAGTATCTAACTTAACGAATGACGAGTGTATCAGTTGGGGACTTAACACACTCGGGGGGGGGGGGGGGGGGGGGGGGTGTAAACCTTATAATAACAATAATAGATAGCATTTGTATAGTGCAAATTCCAGCTCAACAGCAAGCTGTATGCCCTTTACAATCTGACCAATAAAATTATTACCCCAGCAGACCTGATAGCATTCTGAAACAATCTCAACTACCTGGGAAGCTTAAAGTGCAAACTGCCCTTTTATAAGTGCTAAAACCCTAGAGGACAAAAAGGTCTTGTAAACGTATACTAATTAGTTCAAAGATATTGATCTTCGGAAGCTACCTTCCCTCCTATCCCTCTTTCCCACACCCATTCTTTCTTAGATTAGAAACGAAAGACTTCTATCTGACTCAACAATAATAGCAAACCGTTATAAATTGATATCAGACAGAGACTAAAATAAGGAAGTGGGATTTAAGGTAAGCAGTTACACAGAGCGGTTCTGATTACCAACCCAGAGACAATCACAGGCAAATTGCCGTAAATGCAAAAGAAAAGGATAAAAATGAAAAATACCAATAAGTCAATAATTCCATTCGTAGTCATAGTGGAGTCACATGTGTAGGCGTTGGTGCCTCTCTGGTGTAGATCGAAAAGACCCCCAATGACAAAGTACTGGTTCGAGACTGCATTCTTGGGATCTCGAATAGCAATATTGTCAACATAACAGGCAGAGCACGTTGTATCAGGAAGTGATGCGCATGTCTGGCAGTCCACGCCGATGACTAGCACTATGAAGGCGAAGCATATCGCAGTCAGAGAATGCCCCATCTGAAATAAAACAGTAGCACATTCATTCAAAATGATCCCAGGAAAAAAATTAGTGGGAAGTGTGACATTATCATTGCTACAAAAACAAGGCAGCAGTGAAATCTATAATATTCTACAGACCTAAAAGTACTTTACATTGCACATAATTATATTTCATATAATATCCATACTATAACACGGGACAGCACTGAAAGATAAAAGCACATTATAAAACAACTGAACGCACAAATTAATAAGCATTCTAAGACAAGTGAACTGTCGAATGGAGAAAATAAAAACAACAAGCAGAAACGCCGCTGACTATTTACTATCCTGAAAACTTAAAGAATTCCAAAGTAAATTGGAAAAACATGTTTTACATGACATGTAAAAATTTCTGAACTACCCTGACAGAACGGGCTTAACCAAAAAGCCGTCAGGCTATTTATAACTTTTTTTAAATATTCAAAACTGTGCAGTTAAATAACTAATCATGTGGTCTTTTTAACAAAATACACTACAGTAGAGTCCACTTATAACGAGTCCTGAAATAACGAGAAGTCTGTTATAAAGACACTATTCTAAATACCCGTTTTTTTTCCTTCTTTGTCTCTGTAAATAAAATACTGCTATAGCGCAATCAGACAAACACACGGGTCGGTTATAGCAGAATACTGCTGCTGCAGTGAAGAGCGCACAGGCCAATAATACATATTATATAATATAACTTTGCCAGTTGAATAGCTTTTGGTGATCTAGCGAAACAAAGGAAGGGAGAGCCCACGTGTGCAAACAATGAAGGCCGGAGCTAATGAGTGGGGAGCGGTGTGGCATGCGCAGACAAGCAGAACACATCGCGTGGTAGGCCAGCCTAGTCTAGATAATCTAGGCCTACCATGCCTCACACTTCTCTGATGCGGGGATGGACAGGTCATAATGCTGTGATGGATGGAGTGAATGTGTGACTTGTGACGTGCGCAAGCAGACGAAATGCACCACAGGGTGTGGTGGGGCGGGGGACAACACAGAGGGCTAGTTAGCCTAGCCCTTTCTTTCTGATCGCCAACGCCAAGCTGTCAACATCTCTAGCACTAAACAAAGAAACCTGATTTGATTTTTGATCAAGTAAGACCTAGAGATCATGTAAAACAGAATCATCATCAGGGGAGATAACAAAAAGAAACAAACAGAACACCAAACTCATAGATTAGGCCTACTTTGACTTTATTATTTCCATTGAATTTATTTTATTATGGCATCCCTTATAACGAGAATCCTGCTATAACGGACATTTCGCACCGGTCCCCTCCGTCTCGTTATAACAGGATTCCACTGTACCCTTCTTTCCTCACAGGTTTTCGTCTCTGAAGAACAAGCCAAACAGAAAAAGAGCTTGGATCTTGTCAAAGAATATATTCAAACCATTCCCTCCTTTAAAAAACTGTGAGCTTACATGATTTCTATTTGAAGAACACAAGAACTTAATCCTCCCTTTGGCAGAGATATCGTCTTGTATAAGTATACTTACGACCTTAGAGCAAGCATCAAAATAACATTGAGAGTGTATCTATAGCTTACGATTATTGCTGTTTATATTGCTGCTAATTTATATTAATGCATGTGATTGTAAGCCTACGTGTGTGTGCATGTGTGTGCGCGTGTGTGCGTGTGTGTGTGTGTGTGTGTGTGTGTGTGTATGTGTGTGTGTATGTGTGCATGTGAGTGTGTGTGTGTATGTGTGTGTGTGTGTGTGTGTGTGTACACATGGTGAAACCCCAAACCAATGTGCCAGGATCTGAACAATAAAGATGTATCTTATCTTATCTGATATCTCTTATCTTATGTCATAAATTGCTGCTCTTGCCCAAACAAAAGAGTAAACAATTTTAAATACCCACAAAAACAAGGCAGTTAAACGATAAGTACCGTAGGCAGAATACTTTCCCCCGTACTGCCCACAGCATACAGTTGTTGTGAAAGGTAGCATATACATTTACTATTATTTAGAGAATCTGGAGGTCACCGAATTTAATAGCCTATGGATCTTTAAGGATCTAGATTCAATAGACTCCAGAAACCTAATTGAGACCTTAAATCTGTAGAATATAGATTCTAGAACTATTTTGTTTCTTGTTAATGTTTAGAATATCTATCAACTGATATTACATCCAGGGAAACTTCCCTCTCCCAAAAATAATGGTTTTACCAGAGATTTAATCACATCCCTTTCGAATTCAGTCCGTCTTTCAATTCCACATATATATTCTTAATTTCTCATTCTGATTTACACTTTGGCTCTAGAATATACTCTAATTCCTTTGTTTAACTTACATACAACAGTACAGCACTCCCTAGCTAGACAAAAAAAAAAAAAAAAGAAACAAGCCTTTCATTTCACGCGCTAGCTATGAAGAAGGACTTGGCAGGGAAAGTAATGAGCTTGTACACGCACCTTTGTAGACGTATTGCCACCCCCTTGCCTTGCATTGTTCTATTTTGACTTTCATCTTGTTAACGCAGCACCAACGGGTGACAGAGATGTCTGTTGATTTGCTGGTTTCCTTGAGTTAAAGCTTTAGACATTCCACCAAGAATGCTGAACGTATTACAATATCTACAACAAATACCAGTACACACCCCTTCCAATCAGTCTCGTCTGAAACGGAGTGAAAAGTGGCTATAGAGTCGTGTAGCCTCTATCGACCGGGTTCTTCTGTGTGCTCAATTCTGAAAGGGAAAATCGTGGTAAGAGCGAACAAAATGAGCGATTAACTTCAATTCACTAAAGTCTGCTCCATGGTAAATGAAAATACAAGGAATAAGATCTACCTTTGACAATGTGGCTTCTTGTTGACGAACAAACTCCTGGTAATTCCAGAACTTGTCCTCCCTGAGAAGAAACGAAAGCAAGGGAAGGGAACGAACACCACCGTGGGCCAAACAGCCCTGCCCAAAACACAGGATAAACTGTGTCTAAATTTATCAGACCAGTTGGAATTTCTGTGCCATTCAATGTGTTCCCAACCCGTAGGCCTACCGAATATAATAGAAAACTCATAGCCCGGCGCGGTGTTCGGGTGTCCATCCCGTCAAACTGGTTTGGCGACCCAGTGCTATTTTAAGCGCAGCGCGGGCGACTGACTTTGTTGCGCTCGGCTATGTTCGCCAATCGGGAACAGTCGGAGATCAAGTTAGCAGTGTAGGCTAAAGTTTTCTTGCCAAGCCTTCAAGACAGGCCCCCGCCTCTCTCTCTCTCTCTCTCTCTCTCTCTCTCTCTCTCTCTCTCTCTCTCTCTATTATAAAAGGTAACCGGTACACATTTTCACGGAAGCAAGGCCTAAACTAGGGCTAACTTGCCCTAACTATCGCTGTCCGGTTTACCGGATATGGAATCTTTGTAAATAATCGGTTTCCAAGGTTACCGCGTCTTTGACAGGTAGCCCCATTCGTCTATTGAATTACATCTTCGTTACACAATCCCCATTAAAATCAGTAGAATCTAATCGCGATTACACAGAAAAAGGTATAGAAAACATAAAGAAAAAATATCTGCTTTTAGATTTAGTTTTCACAAACATAAGTAGGCCTACGTACTCGAACAAATTTTGTCAATGCTAATAATAATATAAATGAATTATTTATTAAGTTCACTGTCCAGAGCTATAATATAATATTATAGAGCATATAGGCCTACCGTTGCAGCTATTCTATTCTAGCCCTAGACCTTACTTTGACTAGGCCTAGACCACTTATAAAAACTGGTCAAGATCGAGTGAAGTCTATAATACTATAAAAGAGTCTATAGATCGATTATTTATTAGTTTTGTTTCCCTGCTAAGCCTCCTACAAAGCCAACGTACATGAACCCCTTTCAACCCAGAAGTGCGGACATTTGGTAGTGTTTTGATGGGAAATGATGATACAAGATTACACTATAATTCTATGACAGGCTACATATAAGCCACCGACTCCAAGTGATTCAAAGAAAAACCACGCGCAGAACGATCAAAATAAAGTCCTAATTTCTTGTGTGTGTGTGTGTGTGTGTGTGTGTGTGTATGTGTGTGTGTGTGTGTGTGCGTGCGCGCGCGCGTGTGTGTGTGTGTGTTTTATTTATTGCAATTGTTAGTTTGTTCGTATATGCTAGTAAGTGTAATTGTTGTTGTTGTTGTTTTGATTTTTAATTGTAGGCCTATTATAATCCTCATTATAATAATATCATGTATGGATGAAAAGAAAGAGTCAACTAATGCGTGCTGTGAGATAGTCTTCCAGAAAAAAATTATTAAATTTAAATACTCCTTTCTCAAAAAAAATGTTTTTTGAGAAAAAAAAAAAAAAGAAAAGACAAACGGGGTTCTAAACCTTTTATATGGCATTTCACAAAGTCTAAGTGTTTTCCAGTGCAATGTTCATCACTACAGTAGATTACCGGTGTAAATAAATTGGCACCAGTAGCCTATAATTTTGTCCCCCCCCCCCCCCCCCCCCCAAAAAAAAAAAAAAACCAACAACCAACAACAAACTCTTTTGACATCGACAGAATACTTTCATTCTTTGTGGACGAGGAACATGTTAAACGGGAAGCAATCATACTTTTATTGAACTATGATGTTAAAAACTGAGATTGTTTCCCTTGTTTGTTTTTCTCACGGTTGATTTTTTTCCCCGTTCTTTTCTTTATTTGTTAAATTTTTTTACGGTGCTCACAACTACATAAGGTCATATGAGGGCGAGGAGCACATTAAATATTTTCAGTTGGTTGCAATTTTTTAAAATTTAATATTGCTCAGGTGGCTGCCGAAGCCTACTTTTATCGATTCTACTTCATAGCTTGAGAGTCCTTGGGAAATAAAAATTTACATTTTTGTGCCAATAATTAATCAAAGTTTTTCAGTACACTCAACAGATATTTGTTTTATACATAAAAGACCCCAAAAAAAGGCAAACTGGCGAGAAAATCGTCGTTCTCTCTTTTTTAAATTGCAGTATTACGTGGTATTGTGATTCTCTAGAGTGCGCACTGCGGCCCAATACCTCCGATTTCAGCACTCCAGCTCCAGGTCCAAGGACCTACCCTGGGAGCACAGGGAGGAATTGTTACCGGCACCGGATCCCACACGTAGCCAGGACTTAATGTGGTCCTTTTCCGCATGATGCTCCCGTCAGAGGACTCCTAGGGCATTTAATGACGTGGTAGCGCCACCTACCACCTCACCCCATCCTGGTAAGAGCTTCGCCAGTTGGTCCGGGGCTGCTTATTCAACATAATAATATTCACAGCTAACCTACATTACAGTGGCCGTTCCCTATCCGCCACCTGGGACCCGCCGGGTCGGGGATGGTCGCCCCAGCCCTGTGTCGTTCTCTTCAATTTCATTATTTTGACGAGCGGCTGATCTCACTATGATGCCTCACATTTTTTCTTCAATTACCGGTCAAGAGAGCGTTATCGAAAGCACTATCGCCTTCACACATTATGGAGAACTGATTCTCTTGTGTGCCCCACGCTTGAAAAGAAAGGCGACCAATAGGCCCTACATAGGGCGGTCCCAGCAGGCCACAGTCCCAACGAAAAAGTTATTAATATTATCACTCTGTCAAATACAATGACACCATAAACTGCAGCTATCTTTATTGATCACATGGTGCACCGGTGTGTCATTATGATTCATCTTTCTGTAATAAGCCTAAGGCCCAGCAGTTCGATATCTTTCCTTTTGAAATCAAACAAAAATATTTGATGGTTTTGGGAGGCTAAAAATCTTATTTAGTGTAATTTACCGATGTTGGTGCTTCTATACTGAGTGTAGACTTAATTCCGGTGAATGCGCAGTCAACTACACAATCGTAGAATTACAAAGTTCTGTACTGAAAATTTGGGGCTCTTTTGAGAAACTAAGAACATGAGGTCAGAAATCAAGTTCTATCAGCACTATCAAAATCGTAAGATTGTTTGAATTTGTAATCAAATATTCAGAGAATAGCATTCGAAAAAGCATGACAATGTTGTGAAATCCAAATTTCTTGATTTAAAACTAAGTATTGAACAGATAGAACTTTTGTCATTCTTGGGTAGCGTAAAATATAAGCCGGGGGGGGGGGGGGGCTCTCGTGGGGAAAGGTTAAGATGTTCTTTTCTCATTCAACAGGTCCTGGGTTCAAATCCGGATAGTGACGGAAAATGTTCTTCTCTTAACTCCTTTCCCATCCTTTTCTTCTCTTAACAATACCCTGTCATCTGCTTTCGTTTCCACTTTCTGCCCCCGCCCCCTCACCTCCTTTGCCCCTTCTTCTGGTGTGTTTGGTCCTCCTTTCCCATTCATCCTCATTTCTCTGTCTTCTTTCTCTTGTTATAATATACTAGTAAAAGTACCCGTTCTACGAACGGAATAATAATGAAGAAGTATTAGGAAAGTTAAGAAGAGGAAAAAGACTGAAAACAGGAAATAAACAAAACAAATATTTTACCTTGAATTTATCCATGCAGCACCCCCTCTTGACTACCTCTTGGGGTAAGACTTCTTCCCCCTCTTCGAAGGCGTGGCATTTTCTCCTAAAATTTGAATTGGACCCATTTTTAAGTAGGCCTACGGTAGGCTACTCTTGGCGCTTTCGACGACACCCTCCCTGTCACTCTCATCACCCTCCCTCAGTATTGATTTCTGGCCTCCTCTTTCTCTTCCTTTCACACACACACTCTCTCTCTCTCTCTCTTTCTCCCAAGGTAGGGTAACAAACGAAGTCCCCACTTTGTAAAATATATTATTACTTGATTCTTTTTGTCCTTCTTTTATTTCTCCTCCACCTCCATCTACACCTACACCTCTTCCTCCTCCTCCTCCTTCTTCTTGTTCTTCTTCATCTTCTTCTCCTCCTCATTCTTCTTCTTCTTCTTCTTCACTCCTGCTCCCCCCTCCTCCTCCTATCCCCTCTGCCTGATCCTCCTCCTCCTCATTCTTCTTCTTCTTGTTCTTCTTCTCCTCCTCCTCATTCTTCTTCTTCTTCTTCTCCTCCTCCTCCTCCTCCTCATTCTTTTTCTTCTTCTTCTTCTTTTTTTTCTTCTTCTTCTTCTTCTTTTTCTCCTTCTCCTCCTCCTCCTGTTCCTCCTCCTCATTCTTCTTCTTCTTCTTTTTCTTCTTCTTCTCCACAATCTGCACCTACACCTCCTCCTCCTTCTTCTTCTATGAGCACTCCAAACCCGCAGTGAGAAGACGGGCAAAGGCTTGAGACCAAAACCGGGAATTCCCGTAAATCTACTTAATGTATAACCAACTGAACACAAAATATCCTTTGGCGCAGTCGGCACTCCGCAGTGAATATACAATGTCGAAGCAAATGATGGCGATCGCTACAAAAGGACTGAATTTAACTTAAAATGGGCTTTCTTCTTACATATTTGATCTTAATGAAAATACAATAGTGCAACACTACGTTTCAAGTTATGGGTACTGGCAAAGTTTCATATTTTTTAATTCGATAGTTTCTGAGAATATACTGTTCGCAAAATTTGGCCTTAGCTCCATTAGTAACAAGATTATATATACATATATATATATATATATATATATATATATATATATATATATATATATATATATATATATATATGTATGTTACTTTCTAGTAAGACATCAAACCTTTGGCACTTTAATGAATAGTGGCCTATTTATGTTGCAAGTGCTGGAAAACTCTTACCAGTACTGAAAAGTAAACTAGAAACAAAAACATCACCATCTTCATCATCATCATTGCAGAAAAAGCTGAGTAGAGAAGAAGAATCGTGAGTAGTAATTTAAATTCTGGTCTGAAAATTGAAAATATAAATATATTTGATTTTTCGTTGGTTTGTTTACTTAAACAATCATCGTTATCATCATCAAAAACAAGAACAATAACGACAAGAACAACAACAAAACCACAACCAATAACATACAACAAGAGTATACAACTATTACAACTGCAACGTGATAAAATTTTATAATTTGATATTTCTAGTGGACTTCTAGCCAAACTGCTGTTGTTGTTTGG